CCTGTGGGCGGATTCGGGGGGGGGCAGCACTTTGGGCGGACTCGGGTGCAGGCACCGGGGGGCCCAGACCTTGAGCTGTGTCAGGGGCCCCAACATTTCTGATGGCAGCCCTGCATACACACTCACTGACAAACATGTATACATTCTCACTGACAAACATACACACTCACTAACCAACACATATACACTCTTAGTGACAGACACACACACACTAACTCTCACTAACAGACACACACTAACCCTCACTAACAGACACACACTCACACACAGACACACACTAACAGACTCACTAACAGACACACACACTAACGCACTCACAATTTTGAAAAAAATAAATACCTTAAAAGTTCAATCCACCCAACCTTTTGGAGTGCTGGAGTGGATCCTTCCCTGAGGTCCAGTGGGGCTGCTGCAGGCTGGGCTGGCAGGAATCGGCGTGAGCAGGCAGTTCGGTAAGGCAGGCTCATATTGGAGGTGGCAAGGGAGCTCTGATCCTCCTGTTCAGCTCCCTTGCGTGCCTCTCAGTGATGCCAGGGCTGGAGTGACATCATATTCTGGATCCGGCGTCACTGCGGTGCACGCAAAGGAGGTGAGCAGGGAGAGCTTAGGGGAGAGTGCTCCCTCACTGAGATGACAGCCTTGGGGTACAAGAGGCTGGCAAGGCATCTGCCAGGGCGATTGGGGCAGCTTTTTTTGCCGCTCTCTGAAAGTGCCGTCCAAGGCAAACGCCTTGCCAGCCTCGCAATAGGTACAGCGCTGACCATATCGATAGTCAACAATGTATGTGACTTATGATAGCTTACTTAAGTCCTGACAAATATTTTGTATCTCTTAAACCAAAGAATATATACCCGAGAATACCTGAAGGATTTATAGCCGAGATTATCAGTCTACCCACTACCAGCCTCACTCGCATAATGTGTAATGCATACTTGGCAGATAGTAGAAAATGGATTTAATAGGTGCAGATGGTACTAGACTAGCAACGTATATATTTTTTACAGTAACGGTTGAAATTCGTCTATATGTTCGTTCGGCTCTGCACATTTTTGGTAACAAACATTTTTTGGGGGAAATGAATCAGATGAACCAAAAGGGAGCAAAAATAGGCCAATTAGTGTACTGCAAAATATATACTGTACATAAATATTTTGCACATAAACATTATGCATATATTTTGCAGCAAACTCATAGGAGCATTTTCCTTCCATTTGGTTCACAGATCAAGTGAGAAAAACTAAGCAATACAGGGAAATAAAAATCTATATTCATATATTTATTACATTTATAAATATAAACTTTCTTAATTCCCTATTTTTTCCCCTCAATTGGTCACTTCTCTATTGCCGCATGGGGAATTCATTATCATGAACAAAAAAAAATAAATTCAAAAAAACATGCTCAGCTACTGTGCGTTTTGGTTGGTTCATGATTTGGCTACTTTACAGTTTGGTTATCAGCCGATCCGCTGAGACCAAAACAAATCTCCAAATCTAAATTGCTCCAATTTAGCAATTACATTGCTACTAATCACACTATTTCCACTGCTGTGCCAAGAAGAGACAACAATCTCAAATGATAAATATTTGAAGGGTCTTTATTTAAAACTTCATAAGTGTCCCTGTAACTCATCTGTTGCATCACTTCATTATAATAATCCCTAGAATTCAAACCTATAGAAGCTCCTCCCTTAGAGGAATCCTTCACTAAGATATTCAAAGCCTCTACTTCACTAGACTGGTTTTTAGAAGATCACTCCCCATATCTGTCTGATCTCTCTATATTTGTTTCTGAAACCAATCAGTTCTCTCGCTGTCTCTGATTCTTTTTCACATCTGAGTATTTCAAAAAGGCTGAGAGGTACTAAACTCCTCTTGTCCATCACTGACCAATATGTGAGTGATCACCTGGAAGCACAGCTTTAAATCAATATTTCCTGACTCTGTTGGCGTTACAGGATGAAAACAGATGTTTTGTACTATGAACACAGTGAAAACCCTCATACAATAACGTCCAAATGGTAGAAAGAGCTGGAGCTGTGTTGTGATCAGGGTCTATAGTTTATAATAATGCTTTACATGTGCTACAATAATGAGTTCATGGATTATATTATAATAAGACATCATGTATGGGATCATGGTTTGCAGGACACTACACCCCAAATTAAAGCCATTACCCCAAATACCACTGGGACACACTATTTATGCTATTTTAATTACCGTACATTTTATTTGCTTTCTCAAAAGTTGTGCAACAGTAGTATTTTTATACATCTTCTATCTGTTCTTCCCATTTCTCTCTTCACCTGAGGTCAAGGACGTTTGCAGGTGTGCAACTCAGCATTGTGAGTTTATCTTTGCTTTATTAATAGCACAGCTCAAGGTGACTACCAGAAAACACCAAAGTAGAGGAAGGGAACACTCCCAGATCTACCAGAACCACTTTCTAGGATGTTATATATTGTAGATGTATTTTCTAGTTCATAACTGTATTATTAAGTGCATAATTAAAAAAAAAGAAAAAAGAAAAACCCAATACAAATATTTATCTTCTAATAGACATTACAGATATTACTATTGTAAGCACATTTGGTTTAGAACAGTTTTCTTTAGGTTTTGAGAGAAGGAAAGAAAAAGACAAGAGGAGAGCATAGAGAGATCGGTAAGAGAAAAATGCAAAAACAAACAAACACAAAGGACTTTAAAGAGAAGAAAACAAAAACGAGTGGGGATAAAAAGGACAAAAAGAGACAAGAGCTAAGAAAATAAATACATAAAAGACCAGTCACAAAATATGATGGGAGAATGAGAGATGGTAAAAACGCAAAAAAGGAAAAATGTATAAATATGAAAAAATAAATTATAGTGAAAGTGAGAGAGAAAAAACACAAATAGGAGCAAAAATTAGTTACAGAAAAAAAAAAAAGGCCTGAAAAAGCACAAATGGTAATAGGTAAAATGCAAACTAAGGACAAAAAATAATGCGAAAGAATGAACAGAGATAAACTGGGAATAAGAAAAGGAGAACAAGCTATAAAAAATGGTTTAAAAAAGGCAAGAAAAATACCTCTAGCAATAAGTCAGTGGCACTCATTGACCTCTCCTTTGTCTTCCTGTGTAAGAAGAATGAAGTTGGCATTTTTGTTTGTCTCAAACTAAAAGTTGCCAATAGCAGTACAAAGGATAGGGAGACAGTTTGAAAAAGGATTTCAAAATAAATGGGAACTGTAAGTCTGAAATAGTAAAGCTAAAGAGTGAAAATAGTGAGAACCAAAATGCATCTAACTTCTTTAGCATTCATATTTTATGTTCACCATGCAGGATGTCATTGAACTCACCAAGGCCGTAAGAAATAGACTGAGATGGGCCTGAGATTATGAGTACCTAATCCTTAGGTCAATAATCATTGTTCTCCAACTTCTAAAGCCTATTTAGCTTACGGTGCATGTAATAGAATAAATCTCAGCCATCTAGTAAAAAAAAAACCCACAAGAGTAGCTCCTTGCTATTAACATTATTTTTGCTTTAAATGCACTTGAATAACAAGGCACTTTATCAATTTTTATTGTTCTTGAGCCGTAAATGTTACACCCTCCACGTTACAAAACATTCCAAATTAGTAAAATCAAAATAATCACACAATTCTTCATTAATCATAAAATGTTTATTAATAAAATAATTATAGCAATAAATAATGCTTTATGATGTCAATAACGTTACTGAACCGTATAAAATTATATTACACTGCTTAACAAAATGTTCTACTAGTGGCGTAAAATATGTACAACACAGTCAGGAAAGATGATGGATGAAATTAGGTAAAAGAGAAATGTATCTGTTTGTGCTTGTGCATGTGTATAATATTAAACATGTGTGCATCTGTGAAATGTGTCAGAATATGGACATACTGTGTGTATAGGTAAAGGTATGTATAAATGTGTTCATAGTAAGAAATACAATACAATAAATAGAAGTATTAAATATACACATTAACTGCAAAATAGAACCAGTAGATATACATGTAAACATACTCAGAACACTAAATGTCATACATTCTTACGATCTCCACACACTGTATGTGTATGTATAAAAATATATATTTATATATACAATAAGTACATACACACACACACACATTTATATATGTATACAAATTTATATACACATATATTAACGTACACATTCACATATATAAGTTCACGATCATCCCCATACACACACATTGGCAGCAGTTTTCATTATATAAAGATAAGGAAATATGTCCTTGTAATATGAAATAATATATATATATATTTATATCATGCATGCTGAGGTGATTTGTTGAAAAAGACATTCAATGCTTTGCTTGGATTCAAAATGATGGGCATGTGTGCTTTTGTTTTCTAGGTCGGGCCTCGAGATGAGGCATGGGAGGAAAGGTATCACATATCTGTTGTGACACATTGACCATACTTGAGACTGACCTGTTATCAATAAAGTTTATTTCAGGTATAGGCCAATAAAATAAGTTGGACCTCCTTAAAAGTTACAGTTGATGTTCAACATTCTATAATAGTGAACGTGTCGCTCTTTGTGACATTCTCTGTCTTCTATAGATCGGCCAGCCATGTGTCTAGTTTTTATGTTCCACATGCTTTTGCACTAAGCAAATTGACTTTATTCTACTTTTAGGTAAAACCCAAACTCATTGGCGCCTTATGAAGGTTTTTTTTTTTTTTGGTCTGAATTCAAATTAATATAATAAATATGTAAAGTGATCAAAATTATAGTTGTCTGATCGATGGATAAACACATTTAAAGGTAGAGTAAAATATAAGCAAGGCAACATTAAAGAATGGCTCCCTCCTCTCCACAGAAGCCTGGAATGGATCTGCTGAATCCGAGAATGCACTGGAGGAACACCAGTATCCTCTTGAATATTAAATACTTTGGAATGACCATAGGAAGGATAGAATTGACTTCTCACTGGAATGACAAAAAGAACACTGGCAGGTGCCCATTTCACCTCCTGATATCTGATAACCCAGCCGGTTCATCAGAAAGTTCAGTGGCGCTATATGCCATTTTGTGATTGAAACTAGTCTTGGGACGGGCATGAACATTTGGATGTCCTTTAATAATTTTTTCTTTGTCATGTTTAGAAGTCTTTCCACCATCTCGTTCCACATCTGATTGTGAAGGAGACTCACTTTGGTTGCGAGAGGCCTTGCCAGTATCTTGGTTCTTGTCTTGGTTCTTGACAGAAACAGAGCTTGACACAACCACTCCATCCCCTTGAATGGTTGATGAACAAAGGCTAATGATGGAACACAGGCTACCCCAGTTTTGGGCGCATTGGGACTGAACAGTGCTGGTGATTGCTTCCTTTACCTCGTCTCCACATGTCAGCAGAACATTCACCAAATCAACATAAGGTCTAGAGTAAAACATAGATACAATTAATAATTTCATTGCATAAGTGGAGTGTGGCATTGCAGTAATTACTCTACAATATACCATCTACATCTTCCTACATGTAACTAGAAGAGCAAGATAAGCATACTTGACCGTCCCCTAATGCTTATATATGCCCTGCCTATTACTATTTTTATACAAGAATTTAAAACAAATTATCTTCATTTTATTTAAATGTTGGAAATGTAGCAAACAAATATCTGGGTATTAGATTAGGTGTTAGTGGACTAGGTCCTTCATGTCTTAAAATCCTATGCTTATGCTTGAATTGTCATTGCATCTTTGTTAATAGATTTAATTACACACTGAGAAGCGAGTGTGTTCCACTAAATTAACTGTCTGTTGAGAAACGAACACATTGACAAAAAAAATAAAAAATAATCGGTTCACAAAGTGAAATCTAAACTATTACGTACAGAGATTTAGAAATATAGGCAGGATTTAAACTAAAGTCACATTTTGCTGACAAAAACTAATTTACCTTCTCTGTTTAAACCACATTACTCGTGGAATCTATAGCAAGAATGATATTTTGCACATGAAAATTATAGCATCTTCTTAGACAACAGTCAAAATTTGTTACGGCCACATTGCTTAAGGGGCAGGTATCACATCGAGAGAAAACACAGACTGATCTGTACCCACTGGAGATGCAAAACTTAGTAGACTAACGGGTGATGAGTATCAGTGTCTATCTGTCCATTGGAAATACATTAATAGGCATTTTAAAGTTGCTGTGTGAAATGAACACATAACAGGAAAAAGCATACATCCCAACATATCAAATGGACAAAGTGGGACACATTAATTTTAGGTGTAGGAGTGAAAGTGTGGCCCGAGGCAGGACTATTCTGAGAAATTTTAGGCGACTTACTAATAACAATTTGTGCAAATAATAGTAATTTAGAGCAAGAACAATGTGTCTTATTTACGCAGACTGATTTCAAAACACATTTATTGTAGTTTAAAGACACATTACTGGGAGTATTATTGCTGTGGAGCTCTGTTATATACTCTGACACACCAACATTATGCAGCTCATCGAAAAGAGGGAGATTAGCACAGAAAAGAGACCTCCTCAATATAGACACTTGGGAGGTATGGACAAATGCAAGCGGCAGTGACTTGGATAAGATAGTTTGTAAATATAGTCGGACAGCTGACCCATAGGATCATCGACGTATCCAATAGTGAATGTGCTGAAAGTACGTTTTTAAGAAACTTGACCGTACCAGGAGTACAGGACTCATTCTGTCAAAAAAAACAGAAACTGCAAAAACAGTCTGCTCCAAAAATTAAGGGGGAGGAATCAAGTCCGTCCAAGAGATATTTTTACATTATTATAAAATAAAAAACACTTTTTTTCCATTGTGCATGTGTTATTTTGACACATTTTACGATTATGCACACAAATTATAATCTATAGACTAAACTGAATAGAAAAGGGGGGGGTAGAATATTTTTTTCCCAAACCAGAAAATGTATCTATTATTTTTGCACTTTGGTGATTTTGTTCTAAAATTTGGATTTCCCTTTTCAATTACCCACCATTTAGTAAATAAACTCCACAAAAAGTTTTCGTTTTGATCCATACAAAGAAGTGGTTATCTGTCTGTAAACCTCCCAAGTGTCTTTATTTAGGAAGAACAGTCCCCATTTTGGGCACACATCCCTCTGTTCCATATTGTTGGTGTGTCTCAGTGTGTAACAGAGCTCCACAGTGATAATACTCCCAGTAATGTGTCTTAAAAAAATAAATATGTTTAGAAACCAGTCTGTGTAAATAACATACATTGTTCTTGTTCTAAATTACATTGTAGTTGCAAATATTGTTATTAGTAAGTCACTTAATATTTTGCAGAACAGACCTGTACCTGGCCACAACCCCACTCACATCCCTAAATTTAAAGAGTCCCTCTTAGTCCATTTGAAATGTTTGGAGACATGTGTCTGCACGGGTCAACACTTTGCATCCACGATAAAAAATAAAAAATAGGAAAAAAGACAGAAGGAAGAACATTTATAACTTTATACTCATTAAGTGTAATATTAAGTTTCTTTACTATTGGTGGAACTGTGGTGAATGTACATGGTAATAACAATTTTAGGCCAAAATAGCTGAGGTGCAAAATTGGGGAGTTGGAGAATTTTTCAGTTCAATTATTCTGGTCTGTAATTTTATAGTTTCCTTGGCGATTGCCCACAATTCATAGTTTAGTGGATAAACCAAAATATTGGCAACTTTTGTGTATATCACTTAAACTGACAGTTTTTCCCATGTTATTTGGAATTAAAGTAATTGGGTATTGCTAGTGTATGATAATTGAATGTGATCTGCTAAACAATACATATTCTTTTCAGGCTGGCGTTACATAATTTTTGTAAATCCTTGTTTTAATAGCAGACCTGTAAATGTGGTCGCAGTGGACCTTCAATGAACTGTGTTGCTATCCAGCTAATCGTCTTAACAAGATGTCCTGTTAGCATCTTCCAATAAATGACTGGCATAAATGCAGTGCTCCCTGAACATCATCACTTACTCGTGTAACAGAAGATCTTTGAAGTGAATCATCTCCACTATCACTTGGACATTTTCCTTGGCAGCAGAGCAGAGATCATGTTTGGCATAGCATTCCCTCTGGAGCTGATGAACCATATCTTTAATGGCAGGGCATTTGCGGCTGATGCAGCTGAACTTGTGCCGCAGTCCATGAGCTTTGCATTTCAATGCATCTTTTATGAATGACTTTCCCTAAGGAAATTAAGAAAACAAAACAAAAAAACACTATAATATATATATATATATATATATCATCTTCTAACATCTGGTTATACAGAAGCTCTCGGTATCATTAAAAATTACTCATTGAATTGGTTATTGTGCCTGGTGTCCCCTGTACCTTCATTCAGTAACCATTTTCGAGCAGTTTAACACTTCCCTACAGGAAGTATGACTGAAGCAGATATTATACACTTCCTTCTTGCTACACCAATTCATGCCAGTAATGAGCACTGTGATAGGCTGTAAGAGGTCAGCTGACACTCACCAAATCACATCCACCCATTTCTGCTCAGACTAATGGTTTTTTTTGATTAGCCCAGGAAGCACGGAGGGGATGGGCTGCTGGGAACTCTTTAGCATTAAAAACGGTTTAGGACTGGAACTATTGCACCCGACACTATAACATCTTCAATGAGACAAAACAGTGCCCACAGTGTCCCTTGACATACCTTTCATTTAGATACAAAATGTAACATACAAAATGAGCTAATAAAAAAAATTCATAAGAACTATAAATTAAAAAGCACAGATTGCTTCTGCCTCCTCCAATATGGCCACCATAATGGATCTGCGTTCATCTGCCTACAGTGGCTAAATCTATAAAATAACTTCTGGTACTGGACTGTCCACGCATGTGTAGAAAAGCATCTCAGCATCCAAATTACTACCACAAAATAGGGCTGTGTGTGCCCAGCAGAGCTTATCGTGTGACTTTGTCAGCAGTGGTTATGGTGCTCAAAGCATAGTTTAAAATGAACACTCCAAGCAACATAACCACTATAGTCTGCTGTAGAGTTTATGTGAAGTCAAGTGGTTTAAGAATGCTTTTACAACTTACCCAGCGTCCACTGGGTCCGGCTTCCACCTCTGTAGCTTGGAATCTCCTGCACTAAACAGAGCCTGGCAGTGCAGGGATGAATCAATTGGCTGGGCATGGTCCATTGGAGATAACAGAAGCTCACATCTCCAGAGCAGGTGGTGGGTGCTCGACAGACCCTGTGTAAGTTGTCAAACTGTTCTTAAATGGTTTGAGTATCAGACTGAGATGGTGCCAGGACATTTCTGGCACCATAAGCACTACAGTGGGCAGTAGTTATAATGGTGCTTGGAGTGTACCTTTAATGAACTCTCCTTTTCATTGCAGAAGTCAGTTGTGTGGCTGCTTTCATCATCTGGGCCCTGTGTCTCATTTAAAGTTCCATTGCACCAACACCCTGGGAAATAAAATCCCTCACCTTAAAACAAGCAGCTAAACTCAGAATTAATCCAACAGCTGCATCGCAACCTGCTAGATGAACAGTTCAGTTCAACCAAGCAGATCTTATTAGACATTAAATTCAAAATGATGACGCAGGGTGAAGTTTTCATCTCTGAGGATTACTACTAATTCCAATAAATACTTGCATTGACAACTATCCTATCTCCAAACATTTAGAATGAACTAACAACTAAAACTATTGTATAGCATATATTGCGCCTACATCAGATACCTCTTTTAAGGGTTATCCCAAGCATGATGACCACTTCAGTGATGTGAAGTGGTCATTGTGCCTGGAGTATCTATATGCAGCGTTTTGCTTTGTACTCCAACTCTGGTAGCATCATAGTGGTGTCAGCCAGCCCGAAGGCTGTCAAATTCTGTCCAACTTTCATGGGACAATGTCAGTCACTGGTCAGCTGACACTCTCAGCCAATGAATGTCAACTGCCACGGCTTCCAGCTACTGCAGAAGCAGGAAGCTTGTTACTAGATCCCGAGAGAGCATTGGATCCTAGCAGGGATACTGCTAAGGAGGCAGAACATTGGTAAACGGTTTGCCGGGGAACAGGGCCAGGGGGTTGTAGTGGTTATGATGCTATAAGTAAGCCTTAAATTGCAATATCAAGAAATAAATACATTAAAATCCATTTTTAAGTGTTGTTCTGCCAGTTACCTGAGCATCAAACTTGCCAGCATTGTGCAGGAACGCGATGCAGATCTCATGCAAACCACGGATCTCACAAGAATTATTCTCAAAGCATTCAAAGACGCCACATCCCACATCTCCCGCATTCACTAGGCAGTGCTGAATCTCGGCTGTGATAGAAAAAGGACAAGTATTTAAATGTTCAATTGTTGTGTTGGTACCTACATCTAACTAGAGTTTATACACCATTATATTTCACATGCCCGTTGCAATGCTATATTTATTTTTAGGAAAAAAATGCAATGCTTACATTTGAATTAAAAACATAAAATGCATAACATAAGTAAACATATCTTTTAGTGCATTTCCTGAATTAGCATTGCTTTATGGGGATGATTATCTTACAAGGGACACAATCACTCTTTAGTACATATAAGGCTTTGTTTTTTTTTTTTTAACAGCTTGGAAATGTCACAGTTCTTCTGTCTGAAGACAAAGCAAAACCTCCTCTTATTACCGAGTCCAATCACAGGCTTCAAAATGCAGAAGTCTTTGCAAGGCAGATGCTCTGGGCAATTCCTTGCCTCTTGAGTTTAGCTCCACTGAGCTAACAAAACCAGGAAGTAACAGTACCAGTTGTCTGATTGACAATCAGTGGGGGTTTAACAGGGTTAATTTATAAAAATGACACTTTCCACTAAAAACTGCACTTGTTGTAAAATTACGTAAAGCACTAATGCAAGTTAAAGTGCCTTAGAGATCTTGATAGTCCCTTTAATTACTCTTTGATCCAAACTACGACCATGCAGGTATTTGAAATCTAGTGTGCATTTACAACATCTGGCATCACATGTATTCTGGGCTGTCTTCAGCTATTCACATTGTGCATAGCCTTGAAAGATAATTGGTGCTTCGGTCCAAATGAGACTTAACTTAAGGATTAACTAGTACACTGTTTGTCACCACAATCTTGTCCTTATTAATCATATGCCACAATGGAATGTTACATTTATGTGGCTTTGGCTGCTCCACAAAGCCCTATAGTAAGTAAGAGTGGGTCATTCCATTTTGGAATCTGATCTTTAAAAAGGAACTGTTACTTCTCTAGAGTTGACAGCATTGAATAAAATATTGAAAATCCCTGATAACTTATGTTAACCTTTAATTCATGAGATGCTCGTTTTTCTTTTAAAATTTATACTAAAGCTTTAGTAAATTACATAACAGTGCAGTCCAGACAAAGATATATAATAGAGCAGGAGAAGCAGACACATTATTTAATTTCTCCTTTTTGGGCAGCGAAGTGTCCCTTTAAAGAACATATTGTTATTACAACATAGACCATCACTGGTCCTTAAGAGGTTAATGCCTGGAGAATAAAATTTGTTGATACGTATGCATAAAAATAACACAAATATTAATAATTAAAATTCATTTGCATTAATAACAAAAAGTGATGACAGTTTTTACTTAAGACAGCTTTTTAAATATGTCTCAGATGAGTGTGATGACTGTGAGTAACTATGACAAACAACACTCCAATAACTAATAACTGGAATGTCACTGTGCCAAAAACAGCACTCACTGACCACTGTGACAACTATGTCACTATGACAATGTAACCTCACTCTGAACTTTGTAATGACTGTGATAAGAGTGTGAAAAATAAAATTACATAACCATCATTGAGGCAAATAAAATGCTAAAGCAACAAAAAATTTAAATATTGTTTGGAAATTCCAGTTTCACAGAGATCTAAAAAAAAAAGAAGCACGGTAAAAATCTGAGTGACATTTAAAGAAGAACCATCAACACGTTAATACAATTTACTGTGCCAATTGGCATGTCCATGAAACAAAACCAATTACTGGTCAATCAATGTGAAAACAGAATATTACTGTGTTAAAAAATAAAATAAACCCTATATATTTCAGAACTTATGTTGTACAATGACACAATCTACATACTTGTGACATTGTAAATATTATACTTAAAGGGAAACTCCAGTGCCAGGAAAACAATCCTTTTTCCTGGCACTGCATGTCTCCTCTCCCTCCCACTCCCCAATCCCCGGTTGCTGAAGGGGTGAAAACCCCTTCAGTAACTTACCTGAGGCAGCATCGATGTCCCTCGTCGCTGCTTCGTCCTCCGCGCCGCTCCTCCTTCTGACTGCATCGGCCGGTGGGCGAGACTGATCCCGTAGACAGCCACTAGAGGTGGAGTTAACCCTGCAAGGTAAAAAACTGCAAAAAAACTGCAATAATTACAGTTGCAGGGTTAAGAGTAGTGGGAGTTGGCACCCAGACCACTCCAATGGGCAGAAGTGGTCTGGGTGCCTGGAGTGTCCCTTTAACTAAATTACTCTCTAATCATGAACAGCCCATCCAAATAATCATATTAGTCTATAGTGACTGGTGCCTACTAGTGTTTGGAGGAATGGGGGTCATCTAGCCTTACAGTTAGTAGCTGACATGTTATGTAAGATGACCTTCAGCAAAGGTGCAGCAGGGGACTGCAGTGGTTAAAATGCTTGGAATGTTTCTTTAAATAATAAGCAAAAGCTTGTACAGGGTTATTCACTAAACCATTGATTGTCATGGAGCTCCCTGTACCCCAGCTGGGTACCTCTGTCAAGCTTGTTTACTAGCTGGAACCGGGAAACCTGAGGTGCTTCTGCCCCATGGCTTGACTGAGGTCCTTCTGGAGCTTTTCTACCTGACCAGGCATTGTCCACTCTGCCTATTGCACTGCTGCCCTTCTTCCAAACAGGTATCGTCCCCTCTGCCTATTCTGCTGCAGCTCTGCTTGTAGTGCTTGCTATTGCCTCTATAAAGTTACTTGCAGCTCTCAGGCCTAGCTCTCTTTACTCATTCCACGGCTAGCCAGCCAACAGGTACGACAACTGTGTGACTGGGATCCCTAACAATTCACACAGGACACTAAAAAGAAACTAACATACAAAGCTTAATTTTTACTTGGCACTTACTTGGCCCAAATGTTTATTACATCAAGTTTGCTGTGACAAACGTAATAAAATACAAATAAACAAAACATGTCAGAAAACATACAGAGGATTATAATAACATTTATAAAAAGGTTGGGAAGACAATATTTAACACAAACTCCTGCCTGCAGAATTAGCAATATGCAAATCTAACGGTATATGCAAATTAACAAGCCTCGCTATTCAGGAAGTGCATATAGCTGTTGCTACCAACAGATGGTGCTGTACAGGCTCTATAGCCAAATCCACTTAGTTGGTAACAAGTATCAACAGGATAGGAGAGCACACAAAACAATTAACAGTGTACAAACACATTTTAAACACCCAGCACCTATAATGGGCACAGTGTGACTTAGACCTTTGTAAAGTGTCCTTCTGCTCCCAGTAATGGTGATTACCCTTACAGTGATGATTGCAACAGGGAATCACATAATTTAGTCCATTATAGTTAAATTTGTATATACAAAGCCAAGCACTATTTCAAAGCTTGTCTGCTTCTTAACTGGTAACTAAACCCATTTATTGTAGCAAATAGCTGTGAATTCAAAACCAAATTGTACAATTTAAGCTAAAACTACTAAACTGTGACTATTTATGGTCAAGTTGGCGAATTTTTACAAAGCAGCCTTATTTAACCTAAATATTGAAATCTTTGTTTTCAACTCTATCCCATAGTATTCCATGTAATTCTGCACTTTGTTACTATAGAAAGATGAGTTACATGAAGCCGCTAAAGTAACTCAGTAATATGATGTTTGGCAAACAACGCCTTCCGCTCACATACCACCTTAGGGTTACAGAGTGCACACAAGTTGTAAAACTAAATATAATATATACTACAAGTTGTTGCCCTGGTGACCTCTCTTAGCTGTGCATGTCTAACATCTGCTGCAGCTTCCTGGAAATGTAATAGAGATTGCTGCTCTATTTAGCAAATGTTTCTCAACTAACTATTCATGTAGGAAGATCTAGAAAAGGTGATGCTGGATGTATTTTCCGTAACATCGCTACGTGGTAAAAAAAGAAAATCCATATCCTCTCAAAGTAACAATATCCTTCTTAAGAACTTTAATTATAATCAACAACATCAAGAATATCAACACGTAGATATTGCTTGTACTAGTCGGCATATCTAGAAATTTAAGTACTGATTATGTGCTTATTTATTTCTTTTTTTCAGTTTTCTTAACAGTCCGATATGAGGCCAGTTGCTTGATCTGGAATAGCCAAGATTTTTTTTAAAATAATGACTTGAATAAAGAGATCTGTCAGATAATCCTTTCTGTTTATTAAAGGGACACTATAGTCACCAATACAAATTTATCTTAATGAAGCTGTTCTGGTGTATAGATCATGCCCCTTCAGTCTCACTCCTTAATTCTGCCATTTAGGAGTTAAATCACTTTTATGCAGCCCTAGTACTCATACCTCCCTGCGTTTGACTTACACAGCCTTCCTAAACACTTCCTGTAAAGAGTAGTCTAATGTTTACACTTCCTTTATTGCAAATTCTGTTTAATTTAGAATTTGTTTTCTCCTGCTCTGTTTGCTGGACCTTGCAGGAGTATCCTGTGTGTGGTTAAAGTTCAATTTACAGAGTAGGAGATACAAAGTTAAAATCTGATTGAGACTGAAACCATTTTGTTTTCATGCAGGCTGTGTCAGTCACAGTGAAGGGAGGTGTGGCTAGGGCTCCATAAATAGAAACAAAAGGGATTTAACTCCTAAACAGCAGTGAATTGAGCAGTGAAACTTCAAAGGCATGATCTGTACACCAAAACTGCTTCATTAAGCTGGTAACTATAGCATCCCTTTAAGGTGTTGAGTGATCAGGTTTGTCTCATTAATAAAAATACATTTCAAACACACACTGACCGGATCATTCACTAAAGTTTGAATTGTTGAAAATGTATAGGGAATTCAAAGAGAATTTGAAATTTTAGGTCACAACAGCCAAATTGTAAGAACTTTTAAAGTCAACTTTATTTTCAAGTTCAGCCTAAAACATGCACATTAGCGACAATATTTGGGTATGTTATGACATTTAAAGATTGTTCACCTGGTATTCTGGACCTCATGTGCCATAAATACATTCCCGTCATAAAAACATTGGCAAAAAATAGTTTGCTCCATAAACAAACCGATTTGGCCAAAACAAAAGCCTTTTAATTCATACCCAAACAAATCGAGTTGTCAAGGTATAAATGCATTTCCAGGACAAATCGATTAAATTGTGTTCAGGTTAACCAATTCGTTCACGGACAAAAAACTAAATTTAGCAAATCAACTCATCACCAAAACACCACTGCCAAATTAGCACACCATAAAACCATGAACAGCCTGAACCATTGACACAAGACAGATTTGTCAGACCAGACAACATTTTTCTGCTCATCTGTTGTCCAGTACTGAAGGACTTGCCCCCAATGTATTCTCAGTTTCTTTATGGTGTAGACTGTCCACTTCCCAGATGGTCACAAGAGGCACGTCCTGCAGTTTCACAGCGCTTAATGCTGTGAAACGATGCTGGACGTCCTCACGCTTTGCATGAGGATGTTCAGCGTCTTGGAAAACCTGATTGAAAAATATTGACTCAACGCTTTCCTATGGGGAAGGCCTATACATGTGGCACACGCCATGACATCGGCAGAGAAGGAACCTGATCCAGGGTGGCGCTTGGAACTGATCACTGGAAGGAGGACCTCCACGAAATTCGACCCTTCCGGAGTGAGTAAATGCTGACCACCAACCAGCGCCAAGCGGAACAGCTAGCGCTGCGGATGCTGTTCCTGGGAAACCAGTCCTCAGATCAATGGGTAAGCAAACTGGAGATGCTAGTTGAGAGATGTGGATGGATGTTTCTTATCGGGCCCTGCGGTGGCATGCCTACCACCTCTACCCATGGCTGATCGAGTATAAGTGTATTGAGGGGGGAAGACTACGATGGCCCTGGTTTGTTGTGGGAGGCTTTAGGAATTAGTCTCTGGTTCGGAGAAACCGACAGTGCTCGCTTCTGGTCCATCCGAGCTGAGCGGACAGACAACTGAGATTACTGAGATTGCTGCCATACAACCAGACCTGTCCTGTCTGGCCAACCTGGAGTGGGAGTTCAAGCAGGACTATGCTCACCTATTTAGCCAGGTAACGCCGCCTGTCTCTGACATGGTGGAGCTTATGGACTGTATATCACCGGAAGCATTGAGTTTCGTCCCTCCTCCCCAGCAACTAAGCCTGTCATCAAGAGACCCGGACACTGTACCACCTACTTCCCAACCAGCCCCAGAGATAGAAGACCTTATCGACTGGTCCTGGGAAGAACCCCAGTTGGCAGGGGAGATGGGACCGAGGTCTCTCCACCGGCCCTACAGGGATGCTGGGCAGACGGCCCAGATCTCCAACCTCCCCAGTGTTATTGGGAGAAGAGACAGTCGGTCTCTCTCCCCAGCGGCAGACAGTCATAGGGAGTGGAGATGGTCGGTCTCACTCCCCAGCGGCAGTGTGTGTTATAGGGAGAAGAGTATATCGTCCTCTCTCCCCAGCGGCAGATAGAGTTACAGGGAGTGGAGACAGTCAGTTTCACTCCCCAGCGGCTATGTGCAACACAGGGAGTGGAGACAGTCGGTCTCACTCCCCAGCAGCCGAGTATGTTACAGGGAGAGGAGCGTATTGTCCTCTCTCCTCAGCGGTAGGGTATTATACAGGTAGTGGAGACAGTCAGTCTAACTCCCCAGCGGCAGCCAGAGACACCTTGGGAGGGGACAGTTGGTCCCACTCCTTCACCACTGGAAAAGATACAGGGAGTGGAGACAGTCGATCCCACTGCCCAGCAGCTGGGGCTGTCGTCCAGAGACAAGCCCCCTGGCATGGATGGTGCAGATGGGACCAAGGTCGCCCTACAGGGATGCTGGGCAGCCTGCCCAGATCCCAAACTGCCCATTCCCAACCATGTTCCAGGTGCAGGAGAGGGAATTACTGATCTCCTTCCAGCAAACGAGCTGGCATCAGGGCGGAGCACAGCTGGCCTCTGCCCTACCAGCCCATTAGTTCTGGGACCTGATGGCAAGCTGAAGCCAGCTGAAGCAAGCTGTAGCCAGCTGAAGTGCTGGCTACAGGGCAGAGCACCGCTGGTCTCTGCCCATCAAGCATGGAGGGCTTTGTAGGCGAGGTCCAGGGAGAGGAAAGTGTCTCTCCCCAGTGGCAGTATGGGTTACAGGGAGAAGGGACAGCCGGTCCCTCTCCCCAGCGGCAAGATTTACCCCCTAGAGAGGGGAATTGCGTGCTCCATCCCTAGTGAGTACTTGCTCCAACCAGGGGGAAGTGCATCCAGGTTGTTTCTCCGCAGGACACTGGATGTACAAATAGGCACTTGTGGCCGTCTGGACAACTACGCCTTTTGGGAAAGGTCACCAGACTATAACAGACCCAGACCGATTGGAGGTCTGGGATGGTCTCCCCGGGATGGGGAAGATATGTGACAAACCCCACTCTCCAAGTGAGTTTGCCACAAGCTCCTGGAAGAGCCTGCTTGCCAGCCACCAGCCCACAGACTATGGGCCCAGCAGGGAAACCTGTAAAAGACTACCAAACTTGACCGACCGTTAGCACTGATTTCATGGAACTGTTTTGGGCATAGGACCATGTGCACGGTCATTAAAAATTTATGAATTCCTGAACTGATCTGGGTGATTTTTGGATATGTTGGTCACCCAGACAAGGGCTATCAGGGGATGTAACATTGGTGGGGTTTTATGTATTATAAGGTACTTTTGGGGTGTTTTGAAAAAGTATGTTTTTTCTATGCTTGAAGATAATTGGATTAGAATTAGTACAGTTACCGATCAAATTATCTCCCAGGCAAAGAGGAGGGATTGTATGCTTGTATATGGGAGTGTCATGTATTTAAACACCTTTGTCATTGGTCCAGGGGGGAGTGCCCCTTGCATGGGGACATGGATATAAGGCCAGTTGTGGCTGCCATTAAAGCATTCCAGCTTGCACTCCAAAACTGTGTGTCATCCTGTTATTGGAAACATAGAATGTGACGGCAGATAAGAACCATTCGGCCCATCTAGTCTGCCCAATTTTCTAAATACTTTCATTAGTCCCTGGCCTTATCTTATAGTTAGGATAGCCTTATGCCTACCCCACGCATAAGGAAGGGAGGGAAGGAAGATTTAACCCCTGTGTCTGCTGTTCCAGCTTGCAGGGGATTCAATGGGGAAAGTCCTTGTAAGGACTAGAGTTCCCAGGACTGAGTGTCGTCCAGTGCCTGGGGGTGTCTACAGCAAATTCCCCATTTGGCTCCAGGAAGGAGTGGTTCCAGGGCCCCAGTTAAGCCACGGCGACTGAGGGCAGAAGTGCTGCCATTTGTCCTCTGTTCCAGCTATGAAGCGGTCCTTGGCGGAGGTACCCAGCCGAGGTACATGGAGCTCCGTTACAGAGGTGTACCTTATAAAGAGGCTGCATTTTATGCACTGATCAGCCACAGCATTAAAACCACTGACTGGATTTAATAACATTGATGATATTGTTACAATGGCACCTGTCAAGGGGTGGGATATATTAAGCAGCAAGTGAACAGTGAATTTTTGAATTTTATGTGTTGGAAGCAGGAAAAATGGGCAAACAAAAAGATCTGAGTGACTTTGACAAGGACCAAATAGTGACGGCTAAACGACTGGGTCAGAGTATCTACAAAACAGCATGTCTTGTGGGGTGTTCCTGGTATGCAGTGGCTTGTGCCTACCACAAGTGGTGCAAGGAAGCACAACCAGTGACTTGGCATCAGGGTCATGGGCAACCAAGGCTCAATGTTGCAGACGGAGAGCGAAGGCTAACCCATCTGGTCCTATCACACAGAAGCGCTACTGTTGCTGAAAAACATAATGCTGATCATAATAGAAAGATGTCAGAACACACAGTGCGTTACAGTTTTTCCGCAGACCAGTCAGAGTGTCCATGACCCATTTCCACTGCCGAAAACGCCTTCAGTGGGGATGTGATTATCAGAATTGGTTAATTGTGCAATGGAAGAAGGTTAAATATCTGATAAGTCATGTTTTCTTTTTGATCAGGTGGATGGCCGAGCGCTTGCATATTGTTTATTCGGCAGCAGGATGCACTATGGATGCACATTTGGCAGCAGGATGCACTATGGGAAGAGGGCAGGCTGACTGATGCTGTGTTATACTCTAGGAAATGTTCTGCTGGGAAACCTTGGATCCTGGGATTCATATGGATGTTACTTTGACATGTACCACCTACTTACATGTACCACCTAGTTGAAGGACAAGTACACCCCTTCATGTGGCTCTTTCAGCAAGATACTATACCTTGACACACTGCAAAAACTGTGGTTTGAGGAACATGACAAAGAGATCAAGGTGTTGCGTTGTCCTACTAATTCCCCAGATCTCAATCTGATTGAGCATCTGTAAATTGTGCTGGAACAACAAATCAGATCCATGGAGACCCCACCTCGCAACTTGTAGTATTTAAAGAACCACTATAGGCACTCAGACCACTTCAGATCAATGAAGTGGTCTGGGTGCCAGGTCCATCTAGGATTAACGCTTTCTGCTGTAAACATAGCAGTTTCAGAGAAACTGCTATGTTTACAAATTGGTTAATCCAGCCTCTAGTGGCTGTATCATTGACAGCCACTAGAGGCGCTTCCGCGCTTCTCACTGTGATTTTCACAGTGAGAAGACGCCAGCGCCCATAGGAAAGCATTGAGAATGCTTTCCTATGAGACTGGCTGAAGGCGCGAGCGGCTCGTGCCGCGCATGCGCATTCAGTTCCACAGCTGGGGAAGAAAGGAGGAGGAGAGTCCGGCGCTGTAAAAAAGGTAGGGGATTAACCCCTTCCTCGCCCTAGAGCCCGGCGGGAGTGGGGCCCTGAGGGTGAGGGGGACCCAAGGACCCTATAGAGCCAGGAAAACGAGTATGTTTTCCTGGCACTATAGTGGTCCTTTAAAGGGTTTATTGCTAGTGTCTTGGTGCCAGACACTACAGTACATGTTCAGAGGTCTTGTGGAGTCCATGTTTCAACACATCAGAGTTGTTTTGGCAGCACGATACCTACACACATCATTACAAAATATATGTTACAAAAGCCAAGCTGTGACTACTGTGAATTTAAAGTGGACTTACTCCAAGCCAGCTTTGGTGGTCCTAATTTTTCCAATCATATTTTAAGTTATTCAGAAAACACTGAAATGTCCGGAATTCACCTGGGAGTTGCAAAGTTCGGTTTAAAATAGCTGAGCTGAAAACATTGCTAACTTGGAGACTTTTTCCAGGCTTCCTATTCCATGCCATCCAATATTTTAAATGGACCAAGAAGCACACTTTGATTTTAGCGGTGTGGGTGTGGTCAGGGGCATGGCTTTTCTCAGAAATTGTAAGTGACATTTTTATTACAATTTATGCAACTAAAGTGTAACTTAGAACAATGCACCTTATACAGACTAATTTCTAAATGCATGTATTGTAGTTTAACCCCTTAAGGACCAAACTTCTGGAATAAAAGGGAATCATGACACGTCACACATGTCATGTGTCCTTAAGGGGTTAAACACACTTTACTGTGAGTATTATTGCTGTGGAACTATAGAGCTATAGAGTTTGACACACCGACAATACGGAGCTCCTAGAAAAACAAAAAAAAGGATACTGAGTCCAAAATAGGGACTGTCCCTCATAAGCAGGGGCATTTGGAGGGTATGATATCCTGGCCAAAAACTCTCTGGTGAAATATGGACCATTCACAATTTAGAAACCCTGATAATGTTTAGTAAAATAAATGAATAAATGCACTTCTACTACGCAATGGGTTAACTATGGCTTAGGCTCACACTTTGAAGAGAAGTCAGATAGTTGACAATCACCATTAGATGTGAACTGTCTGTACCTGCAATCTTATCCCTTTCACTTTTATTATCTACTGTGATCCTCTGGTTAATTTTATAGAGTGAAAGCTCAGAAAAATTGTTGCTTGCAATACACACTCCTTACAAATAAGCACTATACATTTTATTTTAAATAATACGATTCACTAACTGAAATACTAACCATTTACATGGATATTTATTGTTACATCCCACCCCTCAAAATATTGTAAAGCGCTACGGAATCTGTTGGCGCTATATAAATGGCAATAATAATAATAATAATAATAATAATATACCACTGAAGGAGCTGTGACATGCTGTGCTTTTTCCAACATTTGGTCCTTTAAAATAATATCTAAAATAAGACTGTCTATTATTGGACAATTTATGGGTATGCAGACGATTCCCAGCAATTCATACGTTAGTGAAGGGGTGCCAAAAAAGTAGATCCCTAAGTGTATTCAAACTACAACTTCCTTGATGCTTTGTCAGTCTAAAAGCATGCAAAGCATCATGGAAGTTGTAGTTCTACAACATCTGGGCATATCCATTCTGGACACCCCTGCTTTTGTGAATAACCTTGTAAACAGTGAATTGATGTAAATTGAAAATTGAATTATTTTGGCTTAGTCAACAGTTTGAGTTGGGGAATTTTGCAAATTAGTTTCAACATTTACAATGATTCACGGTTTAGTGAATTACTCGCTGTAATGTCCCCTATGAAAAACCCAAAAGATATAGGCAAAGCAAACACAGAATGGAAGACACAGTGTCATACTTGACCTATAAAATACCAACGGATTTTTACAAAATGTTGGTGCACATGAGACATATTAAACGGATCAGTAACAGATGGGAATAAAGAGTTTGCCAATTAAAACTTAAAATCTCAAGGCTTTGTGTAGTGTAAGTCTTTAATTGTCTGGGCCTCTGAGCATCTTAAAAACATTTTAGTATTTTTATAATTCATGTAGGGCCTAGACAGATGTCTAATTTCATTTACTTATCTTCCAGTAGTGATTTCAACTATGATATCCAAGTAAATAAAACAGCAATTAGAACACTTGTTTGATCAAACAAAGTTTGATAAAGTCAGTGTAATAATTTAACGCACGCACACACACGATTCTACACAGATTTTATTTTTAAAGATCTGGATGCATAAAAATTTTTTTAAAAAAGGAACATTCAAGGATATAATAATTACATAATCATATAAGTTAAAAGCTGGTCCAAGGCGAAATTAAATTGACATTATTAAATCAAGAGAGACCCCCGCCCCCCTGTTTGGGACACAATTGGGAATTGATTCAAAATTATAATTTTTTTGTTTTTATTTTTGTTTGTTTGATTGGTTAGTTTTTGACTTTGTTTGGATCAACAGCATAAACAGATGTGTGTGAAAGTTTGAACTCGATGGACCTTAGTTTTTTTTTTTTTTTCTTCTAACCTAGATTACTATGTAAGAGCTATGTAAATATATGATCATTTTCAATACCAGTAAATACTATGACACTGCCAGCCTTCTGTGCAAAAATGAATTTTTGGGAATCGAAACAACTCCCTGAAAGTCTTACTGTTAACCCAAGTTGGCAATGTGGATTTCACTGACATATTTGCTTAGCTACAGACAGGGCATTTTTTGTACAAAGATCTCAGACCTTGGTTTTGACAGACAAAACAGCAACCTATTTACTACAGCCTGTCTGGGGATGTATGTTCTCTTTATTCCCCCTCAGTGCAAGACATTAACTCTGAGATTCCCATGTAGGGATCACTGGGACATTCCATTACTGAGACATGCACGTGGTTTTAGCAAAGTTTTACACAGCAATGAGATTCCACTTGACAATCTCACTATGTAAATCACACAGTCTGTCACCGGGACACGTTATCTCCCACTACTGTGCAAGGAATCTTCCCAAACACAGGTCATATACACATTCTAACATATATTGCATCAGGAAACAAACATGTCCTAAACTGCACAGGAATCGCTGATTTCATTTATTTTAAAACATGCACTACAATAATCATATAAAATAGCTGCATTTCTTAAACAGTAAATATATATATATATATCTATATATATATATATATAGATATATATATAGATATTTAATATATATACAGTATATAATTAAGTAAAATAGAGGGTTTCTGGGGAGTGTTAACATTTAATGTGGAGATCACTGTCTGTAAAGCTGGACCGCAATGCCAATCACCCATATCCATCTCTGAGGCTGGATAAGGATGATCAGGAGTTAGAATACTGCAGATGTTTCTGAAGTTCCAGAGATGGAAGGGGAATTAATCCCTAGATATACAAAGTTGTCAGTGGGAGATCTTTACCTGTGTTCTGCAGGGAGAGGCGTCCCTTCTGCTGGGTAGCAAGCTTCTCCTTCTCCTGTGGGCTCTCTGGGAGCTCGGTAGTATCTGTCCCAAAAACGGTTTCTAAACTTGCAAAGAGCAGCCCTAGAACGAGCAGTCTGGGGATCATGATTAAGCACATGGTCCTGTCTTTGATTGCTTGATGCTTTGAGTGAGAAGGCTTACTATGTGTCAGCTCAGCTCAGCCCCTGGCTCAGGCACAGTACTAACAGATCTGATGAACTAGTGCTTGGGAATGACTGCAATCGAGGAGGGATGGTGCCTCAAATATCCTCTGCAAGCTCTTGTGTCACTTGAATGAAGGGGTCAAGCAGGTGTTGTCTCCAGTGTGGACCAATCAGATGACAATACTATTCTGACAACAGTCTCAGTGGGAGGGAGATCCAGCCCACTACTACTATAGTAATGAGGCAAGAGAGGTGTCTGATTGCAGAGCCTGCTTTTATTCATTTTTCTTTTCCCTCCCTGTATAAGAGGGTCTTATTCTGATTTCTATTATACTAAACAGGGTATATTTCATCAGCCCAAGCAGAAACTACAAAGAGTGCTGACAGAGTGAGCTCACAATTGAATTGTGTGTAGATTAAATGTTGCAATTATTTATATAGCGACAACATATTCCGCAGCGCTGTATAATAGAAAAACAAGGCAAACGTTTTATTCTAACAAAACATATTTCAGATACAGTAGGCAAAAATATCTATTTTATATATGCCATCTGGCTTGGATTTCTATGCTGTAACACTGTAATCGGTGGCATACACACGATCTATGGGGCCCGGTGCGAAAACTGATCCTTACACTGCGCGGACCGGGCCCGCAACACATGGCGGCGGGCACCTGGTTGCAGTGCTGCGACCCCTGCGACCGTGGTATGTACGCCAGTGCATGCAGATACACATACACTTAAAGGACCACTACAGGCACCCAGACCACTTCAGCTCAATGAAGTGGTCTGGGTGCCAGGTCCCTCTAGTTTTAACCCTGCTATGTTTCACTGTGGGTTAATCCAGCCTCTAGTAGCTGTCTCAATGACAGCCGCTAGAGGCGTTTCCACGATTCTCACAGTGAAAATCACAGGGAGAAGACGCTGGACGTCCATAGGAAAGCATTAAGTAATTCGGAGTTGAGAGGCAGATTGTGAGCAACGGCGCTGGAGAAACCCCTTCAGCCCAGCGGGAGTGGGGCCACAAGGGTGGGGGGGACCTAAGGACTATATAGTGCCAAAAAAACGAGTTTGTTTTCCTGGTAATATAGTGGTCCTTTAATGACAAACATTCAGATACACATACAGACAAACAGATACCCATCCAGACCAAGAGATATACATACCTACCCACATACAGGCACACACACACACACATGGCACACACACAAATGCAGACACACATACCTACACACCCACACATATACAGACACACACTCACTAACACACACTCACTAACAGACACCAAACAGACTCACTAACAGACACACACTCAATAACAGACACCAAACAGACTCACTAACAGACACACACTCAATAACAGACACACACACTAACACACTCCGTAACAGACACACACACAGTAACACCCTCACTGACACACACACACACACTTACTGACACACAAAAAGTAACACGCTCACTGACACTAGCAGACACACACTCAATAACAGACACACACAAACTAACACACAACTAACACACTCAGTAACAGACACACACACAGTAACACACACACACACACTGACACACAAAAACTAACACACTCACTGACACACTAGCAGACACACACTCAATAACAGAAACACACTAACAGAAACACACAAACTAACACACTCAGTAACAGACACACACACACAGGCCCATCGCTGGTGGGCAGGAAAACCAAGCAATTGCTTGGGGCCCAGAGCTGGCTGGTGAGGAGAACACAGGGATGGGGGTGAGGAGAAGCGGCGATGAGGAGAACACGGGGGGTGAAAAGAGACTGGTGGGGGGGGAGAGGAAAGACCACTAAGGGGCAGGGCAGAGCTCTAAGGGACGGAAGAGAGAGCTCTATAGGACAGAGAGCAGGACAGGGGGCAGGACAGGGAGCTCTTTCACGCTACGTGCACAGCAGTTTGAGATACTTTGCACGTTTGTGAGAACTGAAAAATGTTAATGTGAGTGTGTATGTATGTGTGTGTGTTTTAAGTATGTTGGATTTAGTTATTGTGCACTTTTTTAATGTATATTTGAATTTATGGTACAGTGGTGTTTTTTGCAAATGTTAAATTGTTGAAAATGTTCAAATTTTATGCACATTATATGCAACAGCAGTATTTGCACTGTAAACCTTTTTTATTTATATAATGAAGCCCATGGCCATTTTAATCAGAATCTGCACTTACCTGTCAATTGTCTTTGGCAGGTCTGTGTGGGTTCTTCTTCTTTCCTTTTCAGATCATGGCATCACTGGACGAGATCTTGGAAGGAGTGAGAGCAGCCATGCGGGACAGAGGGATGGCCTTGGTTCATCAACAACTGGGGGCTCCTAGTACCGCCGTTAAACCCCCTGCAGCTGCGGAGCGTCGTCCAGTGAGGAGGGCGAGACCGTCCCAGCGGCTGAGTCCGGGCGTGATGCCTAAAGCACGAAGATGTCGGAGCCCGTCAGCAGATGCTGGTGGGGCCCTGGCTACGGATGTGGGGCAGGCGAAGGCGGAGAGAACGCGGCCAGTACCGTCTGTCCGACGCGGTGCCGGTCGGCAGGGACAGTGGCCAGACCGAGGCCTACAGTGCGGCCGGCAGGGCGGCGAAGACAGTGGCGGCCCCCATGGAGGCCGGGAACGCGGGACGTGGAGAGGAAGCGGAGACCTTAGGGGTCCCGGTGAGTCGGCCGCCGGTGTAACAGCCGGGCGGCAAGGGGACAGGCAGGAGGCTGTTAATGGTAGGCAGGCCGTTCCCCTGGTGGCAGGGGGGGCCCCCGGCAACAGAGACACAGCGGGAACGGCCATGGCGGTGGCCGGGTCTAGCAGCAAGGGGGTGGCCGACGGGCCCACCCAGCTGGGGCAGCAGAGGCAGGCCAGGTATGCGGCGGAAGGGAAATCTGGCTGCCAGGGACAGCACTGGTAATCCCCTGCGGACACGGCGGCACAGGGAGGGCTAGGTTCACTGCATGGGGCTCAGTCACAAGGGTCAGTGTTGTGTTCAGAGGAAAGTGGGGTTAAGCATGGACGGGAGGGCCGCAGGGGCAGCTCCCAAGGGCAGCAAGGCTGTAGAAGCGACCCCAGGCCGGAAGTCAGCAGGAAACGGCGCGGAGGCACCACACTCAGAAACACTGTTAAGCTGCTTGAAATCGTTCTTAGATTCATGGGCGAATGGGGAGGTTTCGTCACTGCAGTTCGCGAAGGTATGGGTCCAACAGAAGGGTCTCGGATCGACAGATAGAGCAGTCGGAGCGGTGAGTGGCGATCTCGGGTTAACTACGACTGAGACGGTAAGGGGGCTGGGCGAAAGAACGGACTTATGTGGCGAAAGTCCAGATGCGGCGCGGCAAAATGTGCATGTTTCTTTTGCGGGCCCTTTGGGTTGTCATCTAAAAGCAGAGGTAAAAGACAAGATTTGGAAGGGGGAGTTTGTAGAGGTTTTCTCCCTTCTTCCCCTAGAAGAGTTCCTCGACTTAAAAGAGGAGGACAAAAAGGACGCAAAAAAGGAGGAAGAAGAGAAAAAATGTAGGTATCGGAAGATCCCTAAAACATTTGGGAACTGGCTCAGGGCTTTTTGTATTCTGGCCAGCGTTATCGGGGAAAAATACCCCGACCGCTGCTCACAACTTTTTTGTTATCTGGACGGGAATGGGGACGCGTACCGAACGTACGGGGGAATAGCGTGGTGGAAATACGATGAGCAATTCCGCCAACGGTTAGCAGCGAATCCTAGTATAAGGTGGTACTAAATGGACTTACCTCTATGGATGAAGCTGATGATGGCGCAGAAGGCTGCGCCCTTTCAGGGGGTGGCCGGTGCGGTACCTGGAGGAACGGCGCCGGCCGGGCAAAAGAAGGGGTTTTGCATGCTCTTCAATGAAGGCCAATGCAAATGGGGGACATCGTGCAGATTCAAACACGAATATTCCGTTTGATACATCATTTGTCTTACCCAAAAGGGGCATCGGTCAATGATGACATTGACGCGGCCCTAAGCTCTGTCTCGTATGCATCAATTGACCAATATGCCCAGGCTCCAGGTTGGATAGCAGACGGCGAGATCTCAGCCCAGCAGCGGCGGTTCGTGGAGTCTGCAGTACTTATGGTGTCTATGCAGTGCTTATAGTGTCTACGGTGCTGATTGTCCTTTGGTGAGCGCTAGGAGCATCCTTTCTACGGTCCAACTTCCAGACAGCCTGGAGGCAACAGTAATATTTGGTGGCAGCGGTGGCATAGCGTCCTGGTGCAAGGAGCAGCACCCAGACGACACTGGTATCGTATGAGAGAGTATTAAGGGCAACGCTAGCAGTCTCAGAAGAGGAGATGTGTGGGTACGGAAATGAGGCCAGAGCCGAGTTGTGGGAAGAATCCCTAGAGAAACTCCAGTGTTGGCGAGGTGATCGTAGTCTCAGCAGAAGGCAGCGAATCCAGGCTCGAATGGCAGAGCGGATACCCCTCCTGGGCAAACAACCCCTTCCAGCGTGGGTGGCTAAACTAGAGGCTCTAGTATATAGCGAACTGTGGCTCGACACGCATACCAGGCGCTACAGTGGTATGTGACTCAGCTTGTTCCAGAGATGGCTGAGTATGAATTCCCTGAGAGTGGGGATAACAATGGCCCTGGTCTATTCTGGGAGAATATAGACGATGATGACTTTGGAAGGGCTACAGACTCACGCTTCTGGGACCTGTATGACGACCGGGAAGACATGCGGGGTCTCCCTAGAGCTATTGACCTGGAGGCAGACCTGCAGTACCTAGTCACCCAGGAATGTGACCTGGAGTGGAAGTACTAGCACCTCATCAGTGGGTCCCGGGAAGAGACAACCGGTCCCCTTTCTCAACAGCATCCAGAGGTCCCCCAGGAGAGCACAGCAGCAGAGCCAGGTCGAGAGCCTTTCAGCTGGAAGGATATCGTAGAGGTATACTGAGAGGAACCCCAGTCAGCAGGTAGAGATGGGACCAAGGTCTCTCTACAGGGATGCTGGACAATCGGCCCAGATCCCCAACCTCATTGTGAGTTTCAGGGAGCGGAGAGCATCAACCTCCCTCCCCAGCGGCAGCCTGAGTTCCAGGGAGAGGAGAGCAGAGACCTCTCTCCCCAGCGGTAGCAGCGGCGGTTCGTGGAGTCTGCAGTGCTTATAGTGTCTACGGTGCTGATGGTACTTTGGTGAGCGCTAGGAGCATCCTTTCTACGGTCCAACTTCCAGCCAGCCTGGAGGCAACCGTAACAGCTATGATTAAGAACCTGCAAAGTGGGTTCTGAGCACTAAAATTATGCTAAACTAAAGAAACAGCAATGATTTAATAAGTAAGGATGTATGGGGTATTTACCTAGCAATATAACTACTAGAATAAGCCATTGTTATTATGGTGCTTGGAGAGCCCCTTTAAATCCAGGTATTGAATCATTAATAAGAAAATCTCATGTGTCAAATGACACTCAGTTGGCCAAAATCACTACAAATGCACAGTGTATTAAAGGACCACTATAGGCACCCAGGCCACTTCAGCTCAATTAACTGGTCTGGATGCCAGGTCCCCCTAGTTTTAACCCTGCAGCTGAAAATATGGCAGTTTCAGAGAAACTGCTATGTTTACAATGCAGGGTTAATCCAGCCACTAGGGGCCGCTTCTGCGATTTACACGGAGTAAATCGCACTTATTTGACGCTGAAAGTCCTCACGAAGTCCAGCGTCAAAAAAGATCCTCACTGGTTTGAATGCGCGCGCGCCTCTGGCCGCGCATGTGCATTCGGCTCCACTCGGGAGCTGACACCGATGGAGGAGGAGAGGTCACCAGTGCCAAGGGAGCACAGCGCTGGATTAAGGTAAGCAAATAAATGGCTAATTAACCACTTATTTGCCGCGGAACAGGGCCCCAGTCACCTAAACGGTGACTAGGGCTCTATAGTGTTAAGAATACATTTTTGTATTCCTAACGCTATAGTGTTTCTTTAATATGAAGGGCTTAAAATAAGGGAGTGAGGGCACAGACTGCAACATTTTCTTTTGCTAGCCTTCACACAGGTGGGGGAGGGGGAGAATCAAAATAAAATAAACATTTTTTTTTTAAAGAAAAGTATTTGAATTCTATTCCCATGGGACCACATTTTCCCATAGGAGTTCTATGAAATGTGACGCATTGTGCCTTATTTTCTGGATGCACTACAAAGACAAATTTTTTACTTTTCTGTCCTTAGTTACCAACCAGCCATAATATCATCTGAAAATGTTTATGTTTTCAGAGAGCAGCACACTACACAAATGACTTGTATTTTTATTAATTAGATTAAACTGTGCATTTGTCAAATAGGAATGTCAAGAACAGCAAGTAAGTGTAATAAATCCAAACAATCTTATGGAAAAGAAACAGCAGCTATGTTTTCATGCTCTTTTTATAGTAGCATGGGCTATTTAGCCTAGTTTTTGGTTTTGGTTGGATAACTATCCAAATATTTGGGATTGGACTGCATAGTAAGAGCTGATTTTAAGAACACCTTTCGTTCCTATAATTTCAGAAGAAGCTTGACCTTAAATGTCCCCCGTGCATTCTTCTATTCTAGGGTCGAACTCAAGTTGACTTTAATATATTTTTTGGAGGGGCTGTTTTTTCTATTTATATTCCACAAATTTCCACAACAAGCAAAGTCCTGTAAGTTTCACCCTTGTAGATCTCCACAAACTGAGTGGTTCATCTTGTATTAGTTTTGGCACTGTGATGATGGTACATTTCAACAGGTCAGACTACTATATGATTAAAATGTTGTTGCTGAGTCAGTTACTGTTCATATTGAGGTCAGACTGAGGACTATAGACTCGCAGATTGTCTGGATTTATGCTTGGTATGAGCAAATGAATGGCAAAAGCGAACCGAAGGGGAACAAAAATCCCAGAAGATGCTCCAATGTTTAGATCTATGGCCATTTCAGAAATGGACCTTGGTGGGTCTAAGACACTTGCCAAATATTGAAATGAATTATATTTTTACCAGTCCTCTTGTACAGTTCAATATTAAAAGGGATCCTAACACTATAACCTTTACAACCCGCTGTAACGGTTAATGTGCCAGGAGTGTCAAATACCCTCCCAGGGAAAGTAGTCAAAGAACAAATAAACAATTTACCTGGGGTCCACCATCTTCTCTGCAGCCAAAAGCTATTGCCACTGAGCTAAGCACAGTCATTCATGGTCACGTTCATTGGCTGAGAGCATCGACTGAGTGCGCTTATCCAATTTAGCTCAGTAGTGTTAATAGAAGTTCCTTGCAGGATCTTCTGACTCCAGGAGAGGGGGCATTTGGAGCTTGGTGGACCCCAGCACCACTGTATTTAGCGTGAGGCTGACAAGGCATTTGCCTTGGGTGGCACTTTCAGGGGGGCGGCATGAAAAGCCACCCCCCAAACACCCTGGCTGCCTTCCCAGCCTCTTGTTCTAGGGGGCTCAGGAGCTGTTTGGCTTGCTACCTCAAGCCCACCCAGAAGCTGGCATGCGCTGATGTGGGAGGTGGGGAGTGAGGGAGCACTCTCCCCTGAGCTCTCCCTGCTCAGCTCCCTCGCACACTGCAGTGATGCCGGAGCCGGAATATGACATCACTCCAGCCCTGGCATCACTAAAAGGCACCCGAGGGAGCTGAGCAGGGAGTTTAGAGCTCCCTCGCCGCCTGTCTGCCCGCCCGCCAACTGCTTATCCCAGTGATTGTACATGTGTTTGTCAGTGAGAGTATATATGTGTTTGTCAGTGAGTGTGTATGTGTCTTTCAGTGTGTGTGTATCTGTCACTGATAGTGTTTGTCAGTGTGTGTATGCATGTCTGTCAGTGTGTGTATGCGTGTCTGTCAGTGAATGTGCATGTCACTGTGTTTCTGTCAGCTAATGTATGGGTGTCTGTCAATGAATGTGTGTGTCTGACACTGAGTGTATATATGTCTGTCAGTGAGTGTGTTTGTCAGTGTGTATCTGTCAGTGAGTATATGTGTGTCTGACACTGAGTGAGCGTGCATCTGTCAGTGAGTGTGTATGCATTTCTGTCAGTGAGTGTGTATCTGTCAGTGTATGTGTGTCTGTCAGTGTGTGTGTGTCTGTCAGCGAGTGTGTATGTGTCTGTCAGTGTGTATGTGTCTCTGTTGGTGAATGTGGGTGTGTGTGTGTTACTGTGAGTGAGTGTAAATGTGAATGAGTGAGTATGTCTGTGAATGTGTATGTTTCAGTGAAAGTGTGTGTTGGTTAAACAGTGTGTGTGACAATGACTGTGTATCTGTCAGTGAGTGAATGTCAGTGCATGCATCAGTGAGGACATGTGTCTGTCAGAAAAATAAATTTGGAACGGGGGGTGCTAAGTTTTGTCATGCCTAGGGCAGCACAAAACCAAAATACACCACTGGACCCCAGATAATTTGCCAAACTGTTTTTAAATGGTTTGACTACTTCTCTGGTAGGGGACCAGGTCATTTTTGGCACCGTAACCACTAAAGCGGGCTTGGAGTGTTCAGTTAAAATTTCAGAAGTCTTCTTGAGGAAACACTGTTTTTTTCCCAACATGTAAGTATGTACACACTGCCAACAGACATTATGATAGTCTTGAAACCTAACCCATAAAAGACTCAGGTATCCCTCCTTATTGTCTCATCTGATATACAAATCATTCTACAGACATTTGCTCTAAAAAAGATTTCTGAATTCAATTTTTTCATCTTACTGCTATAGCTGTGGTCTGCGGATGATTTGCAGTATATCAGCACAATTGCTAATAAAAACCACAAAAATAAACACTAAAGTAGATCGTTAACTCAAAATAATGTCTCCCTGAAGCATCTCAAGATAAACATCAATCAAGCAAAAATGAATTGCACCAGAAAACTAAAACAGTTACAAAAAGTCAGATGAAATTAATTCCCCAACCAAATACCTCTGAAAACATCCAATTTCCTAACTTTTCCTTGCTCGCTATGTATGGTTCATGAAAGATTAAAATGAATGTCTGATTTAATGTATCTGCAATCCACAATGTAAATTGAGCAGAAACCTGAATTCAATGAGCCATAAACTCACCATTTAGCCAAAAAATAACAGAATGTAAGAGACACACACTGAGAACACGTAAAATAGCTAATTAACCTGATCTATGTTTAGTACAACTTAGGAGGTCATATAAAGTTTTCGATTTAGCATATTACATAAAGAACCAATAAAATAAAGATATCAGATTGATACCTACCATATACGCAATGCAGAGCAAAAATATCGAGCAGATTTAATTCATCATAGGTGGCTGATATAAGGGGATCTGGGGATATGTGGGTATTTTGGCAGATCCAACCAATAAAGTGGGTCTGTCCACAGAAAAGGAGCACGTTAGTCTGATATGATTGCGTATCAGGCTAATGAAATGGAAAAATTGTTTCATTTTGAATTAGATTTGACAGCACAGTGTGCTTACTTTAAATGTTTCTATCTCCTGCTCTGTTAATTGAACTTTAAAGGGACAGTTTGGGCACCATAGCAACTTCATTGAAAGTTGTTCTGGTGCAGGTTTACCTTTAGGTTACCTAACGCTCCAAGCCAATCAGTAGTTCCTCATTCATAAAAAAACAAAACTCCTAAAGGTACACCAGGACCAGGGTTTTACTTGCACCATAGCAACTTCACTTCAGTGCTCCTTTAATTACACACAGGAGGCTCCTGCAGGCTCTAAAAGGCTATTAACAGAGCATTAGATAAAAAGTTCTAAATGAAACAGAATGTGAACTAAAGGAAGTTTAAAAATTAGATCTCTCTTTGAGGAAATGTGTATGGAGACTGTGTAGGTGTCACTAGGGCTGCATAAACAAAGTGAAACATTAGGAATACAACCATGAATCCCTTACACTATAGCGGTTTACAAACTATGCAAACGTATTCCTAACACTGTAGTGCTGGAGTGACTGGTTAGATGTAGTTAGGTAGTTACCTTACCTTTTCTCCATCGCTAAGCTGATCATCAATCTTGATAGTGGGCGTGAGGGATAACAGAGTTGCTTTAGTTAGGTAATAGCGCTTGCTCCTTCATAGGAAGCTGTAAAGAACCTTGTTAAATTAGGTGAGGACTTAAATAAAGTGTTATGAACAATACAAGCCCTTGGATGTCCAGGAGAGGAAGCAAAGCTTCTTCATGTAGAGTCAGTACATGTGTTGGTGAGATTATAGCTACAGTATTTTTATTTCTCAGTTCACTACAGTTATAAGTAGCTGTGTACAGGACGACAGGTAATTTAATTATACCATAACCTATGCATTGACATTTGGATGCAGGGTTGTATTTGTGTGTAGTGTAGGCGAAGTGCGGAGATGTATGCACATATATATACACACATATACTCACATATACACACACTGGCACACATACACAGACACATAGGTAAACACATGCAGTTACATAGAAACATAGTCATACACATACAGATACAAACACACATATAAGACAAACACACACACATACAGACACACAGAGTGAGACACACAGGCACAGACACACATACAGATAGAGACACACACATACAGGCACACTGATACAAACACAGACACACACTAACACATACATATACACATATACCAACACACATACAGATACACAGACATACAGATACACAGACACACATGTATAAGTGTGTGTCTGTGTGTGTTTGTATAGTGTATGTAGTGTGTTTGTATAGTGAATGCAGTGTGTGTTTATATAGTGAATGCAGTATGTGTCCTTGTATAGCGGATAATGGTGTGAGGGAGGGGGTGATGGTGAGAGGGAGAGGAGTAATACTGTGAGGGAGGGGTTGATGGTGAGAGGGAGGGGGTGATGGTGAGAGGGAGAGGAGTAATACTGTGAGGGAGGGGGCGATTGTGTGAGGGAGGGGGTGATGGTTTGAGGGAGGAGGGAAGGTGAGAAGGGGCTCATGGTGTGGGGGGGAGTAATACTGTGATGGGGGTGATGATGTGAGGAAGGGGGGTGATGTTGTGAGGAAGGGGGTGTCAGGGTCCCGCGGGCGGCTGCGAGGGGAGGTTGCAGTCCGCTCGCGGCACTCACCCTCCAGCCGTCCGCGGTCCCCCTTCAGCCGTGTGCTCGGCGGGCGGCACCCTCTCTCCCACGGGTGCCGTCCGCCTCTTCCTCTGTGTCTCCCAGCGGCAGCATGCATGACGCTGCACGCTGGGAGACCGCCCACTTTAACCAACGCCGGGGTCAGTCACCTGACCCGGCGTTAAAGGCACAGTGCCTCAATCACAGTGGGAGGTTTAGATATCTCCCACGTGTGATTGTTAATTCTGATTGGAAATTATCCAATCAGAATTAACCTTTGGATTTATATACTTACCTTTCCTGTTCCTCTTCGCCCTGTTGTGGTCTTTGCTTGTTAGTATTGATTCTGAACTTGTGCTTCTGGTTACGTACTCTCTGGCTTGTTATCCGACTCTGTGACTTTCTCCTACCCTTTGACCTCGGCTTGTTTCACGTTATTCTGTCTTCTGGTTCCCCTTACTCGGCTTGTTTTCTGACTATTCTTTGTGTGCTTAGCCCGGCCACTCTAAGGTCCGGTACGGCACTTTGTGTGTGTGTGTGTGTTGGCGTGTTTGGTTCCCCGAATCGTGACATTACAACAGGGCCATAATGGAACCTGCTGACATCCCACAGCTCCTAGTTAATCAGGAGGCTAGAATGGATGGCTTGGACCACCGTATGGACCAGTTTGCCCAAGCTTTACAAACCATACTGGCTCGTACTGCACACTTGCAACCTGCCGTCCAGGAGGCTGCTGCTGCTGTGCCCGAACCCATTCCCACTCCGGTACCCGTTCCTGCTCATGTTGTTCACATGACAACGCTACAGCGGTGACCCAGCATTGTGTCGTGGTTTCCTTAACCAAATTGACATCCATTTGGTGATGAATCCACGTTCCTATCCCACTGACAGATCCAAAATTGCCTTTTTGATTAATCACCTGTCCGGGAAAGCTTTAGCATGGGCTAACCCCATGTGGGAGAATACATCTCCTATGTCCTTTGTAGAGTTCTTGACAGCTTTCAAACGTACGTTTGATCAACCCGGTAGGGTTGCCTCTGCTGGCAAAGCTCTGCTTAGGGTACGACAGGGTAATAGATCTGTAGCGGATTATACTATCGAATTCCGCACGCTAGCAGCTGAAGTGGTTTGGAATAATGATGCCCTCGTAACAGCCTTTCAGGAGGGTTTGGCCGCCTACATACTGGATGAAATAGCATCCAGGGAATTGCCTGTTCTTCTAGATGATGTCATAGATTATGTCATTCTTATTGATAACCGTATTAGAGAGAGGCGTAGTCAAAGACGGATGGATACACGGGCATTACCTGCTCCCCCCTCTACTGCTTTACTAGCACTACCCGCTCCTAGTCAACCAACCCCCGAACCCATGCAATTGGGTGCTACGGGGCTAACTGAGGCTGAAAGAGCATATCGTAGAAGGGAGGGGTTATGCCTTTATTGTGGAAAGAGGGGGCACCACTGTAATGCCTGCCCTAAGTTACAGGGAAACTACAGCACCTAAGGCCTAGAGAGGGGTCGGCCTCGGGTGTTATGACTTTGTCCCCTCATGTGTCCATCTCCAGACCGTTTATTACGGTTTCTCTTTTAGTCAATAAAACCACCATAACAACCAAAGCCTTGATCGATTCAGGTGCGGCAGACAACCTTATGGATGAGAACTTTGCTAAAACCGCAGCCTTGACTTTGATCCCTTGGTCGTTGAGGCCATAGATGGTAGACCACTTGAGAAACCTCTGGTGACCCATGAGACCCAAGAAATAGTGATGTCTGTAGGTGTTTTGCATAAGGAAAGGTTAACCTTCCAAATAATTGACTCCCCTACTGCTTCCATCGTTCTGGGTTTTCCCTGGTTAGTGAAACACAACCCTGTTCTCGATTGGGGTTGCTTGGATATACTATCCTGGGGGGAATCCTGTCAACGAGACTGTATGGCTCAGGTACGTCCTGTTTGTTTACTCAACGTGCCCACGGCTAAACCACTCTCTGTTTCTGTCCCTTCTGTATATGCTGATCTTGCATTGGTTTTTGAAAAGAGGGAGGCAGATAAGCTACCTCCACATCGTGACTATGACTGTGCCATAAACCTTTTACCGGGCACTATGCCCCCTAGGGGTAAGGTCTACCCTCTTTCTGAGAAAGAAAACCAGGTCATGGAGGAGTACATACGAGAATCCTTAAGGAAAGGTTTTATTAGAAGGTCCTCCTCTCCTGCTGGTGCTGGTTTCTTTTTTGTGGCAAAGAAGGAGGGCGATTTGAGGCCGTGTATAGACTACAGGGGTCTGAACAATATAACGGTTAAAAACGCCTACCCTATCCCCCTCATCACTGAGTTGTTTGATCGCGTTAAAGGTTCTAAGTACTTTACTAAACTAGACCTCAGGGGGGCTTATAACCTTATCCGTATAAAGGAGAATGATGAGTGGAAGACAGCGTTCAATACACGTAGTGGGCATTATGAATACCTGGTCATGCCTTTTGGACTGTGTAATGCTCCTGCTGTGTTTCAGGATCTCATAAACGATGTCCTTAGGGATCTATTGCATGTCTGTGCCGTGGTGTACCTTGACGACATACTTGTATATTCTCCTGATTTGAAGTCACATCATAAACATGTTAGGATGGTGCTTAAAAAATTATTACAGAGCGGACTTTATTGTAAGTTAGAAAAATGTCTGTTCGATCAGACCTCTGTGCAATTCCTGGGATATATAATTTCTGAACAGGGTTTTAGTATGGATCCTGCTAAATTGGAAGCTATACTGTCCTGGCCACTTCCCCAAGGACTTAAGGCTATCCAGCGTTTTATAGGTTTTGCTAACTATTATAGAAAATTTATAAAAACTTCTCACCACTTATCTCTCCTATCACAAAGCTGACTAAAAAAGGTCTACACCCTAGGGTTTGGACTCCTGAAGCCCTTAAAGCCTTTGAAACTCTCAAGAAAGCATTTGCCTCTGCTCCAGTACTACACCACCCTAATCCTTCTCTTCCCTTTGTTATGGAAGTAGATGCTTCTGAATCGGGGGTGGGAGCAGTACTATCACAAAGGTTATCGTATGACGAACCCCTCCATCCCTGTTGTTTCTTTTCTAAAAGGTTGTCTGATCCAGAAAAGAATTACGATGTTGGGAACAGAGAACTATTAGCTATTGTGTTAGCTTTTAAGGAATGGAGGTACTTATTAGAGGGTTCTAGACACAAAATTATGGTTCTGACAGATCATAAGAACCTCTCCTATATAACCGATGCTAGAAGGTTGTCCGCCCGACAGGCTAGATGGTCTCTATTCCTTTCGCGATTCCAATACATTATTACCTATAGACCTGGTTGCCGTAATGCCAAAGCTGACGCTATCTCTCGACAGTATGAACCTTTAGAATTTGTTAACCCAACCCCTGAACCTATTGTACCAGCTTCTCAGATCATAGCTGCTACCCGTTTGGTTGTTTCATCTCCCTTCCTTGAGAATATTAAGACATACCAAACCCAAGCGCCTCAGGAGAAGCCTGTTGGTAAACTATACGTGAAAGTAAGTGACAGAAAAAAGTTATTAACATTATTTCACACCGCCAAAACTGCTGGTCATCCGGGGGTTACCAAGACTTATAAGAGCCTCCTTCAACAGTTCTGGTGGCCTTCACTCAAGCGAGACGTAGTGGATTTTGTTCAGGCTTGTCGGGTCTGTACGCAGTGTAAGTCTCCTAATATGAGACCCCAAGGCCTACTGATGCCTCTATCTATACCCAAGAAACCATGGACCCACTTGTCCATGGATTTTATTGTGGACCTTCCTCCTTCTGATGGTCAGACGGTGATATTAACTGTGACGGATAGGTTCTCTAAAATGGCCCACTTTATTCCACTTAAGAAACTACCCTCTGCGATTCAGCTTGCCCAGGTGTTTGCCAAGGAAGTGTTCCGATTGCATGGGGTACCTCAGGATATTGTTTCTGACAGGGGCCCGCAATTTGTCTCTCGGTTTTGGAGGGGCTTTTGTGCTGAGATGGGGGTCTCCTTGTCGTTCACTTCCTCCTATCACCCGCAATCTAATGGTGCAGCCGAACGTGCTAATCAGTCTGTGGAATTGTATTTGCGCTGCTTCACTAATGCGCACCAGGACGACTGGTCTCGCCTTCTTCCGTGGGCTGAATTTGCCAGGAATGCGGTGTCTCATTCGTCTACTGGCTTAAGTCCTTTTGAGGTTGCTTATGGGTTTCGGCCTTCTGTCCTTCCCGGTGCGTTCTCTGACAAGGGAATGCCCGCCTTGGACCAGCACCTCGCCTCTTTACGGAAGACGTGGGATCAGGTCCATATTGCGCTGTCTCGTTCAGCAGCTGCTCAGAAGAAGTTCGCTGATCGCCATAGGGGAGCGACCCCTTCTTATGCTCCGGGTGATAGGGTGTGGTTGTCCTCCAAGAACCTCCGTCTCAGGGTCCCCTCCATGAAATTTGCTCCCAGGTTTCTTGGTCCCTACAAAGTGTTACGTAGGGTCAACCCCGTTTCCTACTCCCTGGACTTGCCTCCTTCCATGCGTATTCCGCACACGTTTCACGTTTCACTTTTGAAGCCCTTGCTGTGTAACCGGTTCTCTCGTCCTCTCGGACGGCCCGTTTCCCCTCGTACTGTCTCTAGTGACGTGTTCGAAGTAGCTGCCCTTCTCGACTCTCGTGTTTCTAGGGGTCGGCTGCAATACCTGGTGGATTGGAAGGGTTACGGCCCTGAGGAGCGGTCTTGGGTTTCGAGCTCTGATTTGCACGCCCCCTCTTTAGTCCGCTCCTTTCATGCCCGGTTTCCTTTGAAGCCTTCTGCTTCCCGCCCTCTGGGCGGTCTTCGAGGGGGGGGTACTGTCAGGGTCCCGCGGGCGGCTGCGAGGGGAGGCTGCAGTCCGCTCGCGGCACTCACCCTCCAGCCGTCCGCGGTCCCCCTTCAGCCGTGTGCTCGGCGGGCGGCACCCTCTCTCCCACGGGTGCCGTCCGCCTCTTCCTCTGTGTCTCCCAGCGGCAGCATGCATGACGCTGCACGCTGGGAGACCGCCCACTTTAACCAACGCCGGGGTCAGTCACCTGACCCGGCGTTAAAGGCACAGTGCCTCAATCACAGTGGGAGGTTTAGATATCTCCCACGTGTGATTGTTAATTCTGATTGGAAATTATCCAATCAGAATTAACCTTTGGATTTATATACTTACCTTTCCTGTTCCTCTTCGCCCTGTTGTGGTCTTTGCTTGTTAGTATTGATTCTGAACTTGTGCTTCTGGTTACGTACTCTCTGGCTTGTTATCCGACTCTGTGACTTTCTCCTACCCTTTGACCTCGGCTTGTTTCACGTTATTCTGTCTTCTGGTTCCCCTTACTCGGCTTGTTTTCTGACTATTCTTTGTGTGCTTAGCCCGGCCACTCTAAGGTCCGGTACGGCACTTTGTGTGTGTGTGTGTGTTGGCGTGTTTGGTTCCCCGAATCGTGACAGGGGGGTTATGGTGAGAGGAAAGGGGTGATGGTGAGAGGGAGGGGGTGATGGTGAGAGGAAGGGGGGTAATGGAGAGATAGAAGGAGTGATGGTGTGAGGGGGTGATGGTGTGAGGGAAGGTGAGAGGGAGGGGGTGATGGTGAGAGGAGGGGGGTGATGATGAGAGGGAGGGGGGTGATGATGAGAGGGAGGGGGGTGATGGTGTGAGGGAGGCGAGGTAATGTTGTGAGGGAAGGGGGTAATGGAGGGAGGGGGGGACTAAATACCTTATTTATTTACCTGGTGGTCCAGTGTAGGCTCCCTGGTGGTCCACTGGTGATATCTGGTCTGCAGCTCCGCAGTGTGCAGAGCTGTAGACCATGAATCTCGCAAGACCTAGTCAGAGCGTTGCTGTGGTAACACGTGGCAACTCTCTGCTTGATCAGATCTCGCGAGACACATGATCTGCAGCTCTGCACACTGCGGAGCTGCAGACCAGTGTCTGCGATGGGCGCAGGAGGGGCATCGCACCCGGCGGCATATCAAGCAAGCCGCCGGGCCCCCTCCTGGTGTCGGGTAATGGGACAGTCTACCCCAGGCACCCCCGTGGTGAGAGGCACCTGGGGCGAACCGCCCCCTCTGCCCCCCCCCACCCCTGTTAGTACGTCACTGGGTTAACTAATTGGCTTAAAAACACAAAAAACATTTAATTAGATACAACTTTGTTTTAAAACAGACAATTTATGTTTTAGTTATTTTCTCTCACCTCTCTCCCCACCTTTTATCAAAGTGTAACTGTTTGCAACATATCCACGACAATTCACTGTAGTTATAATGATGCCAGGTTGTCCCTTCTCCATTCCCCGGTTTCATATCAATCCGTTTAAGAACAGCATAAAGCAAAGTGGAACCCTGCACAGTGCCAGGGACTGTCCCCATCTCGGCCACAGTTTTAATGCGATATTAACATTTCTGCATATTTTTAGAGCTCTCAGCCAATCAATGCTGTCTACATTGGATGGAATTGACACTAATAATGTGGAAGTGTAAATTCTACATTATTTAAGAGATTCTATAGTGTAAGGAATACAAATTTGTATTCCTTACATTATAGTTCCTTCTGCCCCACACCCTGGCACCCTCCCCCCAGCATTGAAAGGTTAAAATTACCCTGTGTGTACTTACCCAATTCCAGCTCCGATGTCCGTCAGCGCTGGGTCGACGCTCTGCATCCTCTGTTATAATCCACCAGGAGGCCTAATGTTTGGCGAGCACCGGTAGTGCATCAGGCCCTCCCCATAGGTAAGCCTTGCTTAAATTTATTGCTTAAATATAATCCAACTAAGTGTTAGGACAATATAGTGTTAGCAAAACATTTTTCCTTTAACCCGTTAAGGACCAATGTTCTGGAATAAAAGGGAATCATGACATGTCACACATTAGGGGTTAAAGAATGAGTGATAAGGCAGTCGTGGACATAATTTGAGTAACTCCCAACCACCGCTGTAAAAAATTTAATTAAAAAATTGAAAAACACCAATAACTTGTATTAACCTTGTATCTGTGTGATCCTCCATTTTTCATAAAAGTCTAGAAATTGACATCACAGTCCTGTTTATTCCTAGAGAGGTAAGAGAAAATATTCGATTGAGTAGGAGAAACAAAAACATTGCATGACATGTGCACCGTTGTTATTCGACAGGTGTTAATTAAACCTTAACTTAAATGAGACACAGACACCGTTTATACTGTTGGCGTATAAAGTCCACAGCTTTATTAATTATTCTTATATATATAAATAAATTAACATATTTAGGGTCATGGTCAAAACTGACATTATGTTACTATCTCCCTGCACAATACCCCTGACAATGACCCTACCACTTGAACAATAAATAACATCCAAATAACATTTAACTTGTAACACACGGCCTACCAAAGAGGCCCCAGCCCCATAAGTTAACTGTAGGGGTGTACCCAGACACCCCTACACCTCTAGGTTCGTAGCCAACGAAGTGCTCGAACCTACCAACCTTATTTCCATCCGGCCTACTCCAGCCTAGACCTTGGCCTGTCCACTTCCAACTCCACCAAAATTCCGACTTTACCACGCCCTGTTCCGCCACAGCACATGACTTGAACCCTTAAGACCATGTGCGACCCCCACCCCACTGAAACAGGGCCTGATTAATGCCCTCCTGAAAACCCAGGTTAAGTAGATCGCTCCCTACGTCCGACAAGTGTACACCATGTTTTCTAAAATACCCGGGCAACATGCCCTCCAGCTCCCAGTGCCTTACCACGACACCGCCTAACCGTCTGATAAAAACCGCCATGGTCCTATTGACCTTACCCCTGCATCTGGCCACTGCAGCTGGATTCCTAGCGTGTCTCCACGTAAAACGAGGCACCATTTCGGACCAGACCACCACCACGCCAGGAACCAGCTCCAGCAGCCGATCCATGTCCCTCTTCATTCTCTGTACCAGTTCTCGTTGGGGTATCAGACCTAGGTTGTTCCCTTCACCGTGAACCACTAAGACATCTGGGACGGTCCCCCCTGCAACTTTCCTAAACAACACACTACTCAAACTCTGCCAACTAAACCTCCGTAAACCAAACCATGATAGCGCCACCTGCTCCAGAGGAAAGCCAAGCTGTGTTCCATTTCTTCTAACTGCAGCCCTCTTCTGTGCCCAGTAAACAAACGAATGGCCGATTAGCCACACCTTCCAACCTGCAAGGAAACACATTTTAGTGACTTGGTAGAGGCCCTTCTTACTTTACCACAGTCTCACTCCCCCCCCCCCCAATTCACACCAACTTGTCAGGCCTCAGATATGAGCGGAAACGTAAGGATTCTCATCTCCCTTACCGCATGATCCGTTCGTCTCCTAGACCCAGACGCGCCGCTTCTGTCGCTGCCCCAATCCTAAACGAGTGTGTCCCAAACTGCTTGGGCTCCAGGCCCAGTTTCTGTAAATGAAAAACCCTGATGAACTGAAAGCCGTCCGCGTGCATGAAAAAACATCCCGTAACCATTGAGCGTAGTGCCAAGTATCCCGCGCCCCACGCCCCACTCCACCGGGCACACCTCGGATCCCGGCAGCTCAAACAACACCACTGTGCAACCCTTACCAAAAATGTCCATCTTCAAGAGGCCCAGCCTGATCCACACTATGTCTGTACCTACCTCAACGTCTTCGAGCTCTGAAACCGCCCGCCCCGGCTTTGTTCGCACTGACCAACTCCCCAATCCGGAAAGCCCAAAAAAAGGCCCATACAATGCCACCTCGATGATGAATGACAAATTTCTGGCAACACCCCTACTAACCTTTGCATTATCGCGAACGACACCGGTCTCCTTGTATCCACCGACTTCTTCCTCTTACGGAAGCACCGTACCGCCTGCAGTACCAGGAAATGTTTTGTGATGTCTTCCCACCCGTTGAACTTAAATAAGAAGGCCAAGGCAGACATATGTCTGTCTACCATGGTTGGAGATGCCTGCTTCACGAACAAATGGCAAAGTATCCACAACAGTACATCCACCCGCTGACCCACCGAGAGATCCCCCCCTACCTGAACCACCGTTTCGTCCCAATCTTTCCAGACCTTCACATACGAGGACCAAGTGCTCGGCGCCAACGAGTTCCTTATACACTCCCCAAGCAAGTTGCCACATCTCAACCGGGCATGCTTGCCCCTGTTCCTGCGCGTCCGGTGCCGCATCCCAAAAATGTTCCCACTGCAAACGAGACAGCGCATCAGCCACTACATTTTTAAACCCCGGGATGTGCTTAGCCCTGAACACTATGTTGAAAGACATACAGAGAAGTACTAGCTGCCGCAATAGGCGCACCACCGGTGGTGAGGATGCAGACAGGCTGTTGATGGCCTGCACCACTGCCATGTTGTTGGAGTAAAATTCGACTTTCTTATTCGCTAGCTCCGGACCCCATAAAGCCACTGCTACCACGACGGGGAAGAATTCCAAAAACGCTAAATTTCAGATCAGTAGGCTCGCCTACCAAGACTCCAGCCACCCCTCCGCACACCATTGTCCCGCCAGGTATGCCCTGAAACCGATGCTGCACGATGCGTCCGTAAACAGCCCCAGCACATCCGATGACACGGCTGGTTCCCGAAAAAACACCCTCCCGTTAAAGTAGCGTAAGAACCGGCCCTACACCCCCAAATCTTCTTTCATATCCGCCGACACTCGAATATAATGGGACGGCAGCCGCACCCCGCTCGTCTCTTGAACCAACTGTCTGCAAAAAACCCTCCCCATGGGGATAACCTTACATGCAAAGTTAAGGCTCTCTACCAGAGACTGTAACCCCTGCAAGGTTACCTTTCTCGCACCCTTGACCGTGTCCACCAATTGCCGCAGACTACAGTTTGTCCCTGGGCAATCTGCATTCCCCTTTTTCCGTGTCAATTTCCAATCCTAAGAAGCTAAGGCAAGTGGTGGGACCCACCGTCTTGTCCTCTGCTAAGGGCACCCCGAAAGGAATGTGCTACCCACTGGAATACCCACAAGATCTGCACGCCATGATCCGAGTCCCGCACCGATCCAAATCCCACGGGCCGACGCATAGGAAGTCATCCAAGTAGTGCACTAGCGACTCCCGACTTACCACCCATTCCAGAAACGTACTAAACTTTTCGAAGTAGGCACAAGATATGGAACAGCCCATAGGCAGACGTAAGTCCATGAAAAAATCCCCCGTCGAAGTAGCATCCCAGTAGGTGATGACAATCCGGATGTATGGGAAGCAGCCGGAAGCTTGACTGCTTTGTTGAATGATGTATAGGAGACAGAGCACAGATCCGCATCGATGTCATCGTTCACCGAGGCCCCTTTCGGGTGCGACCAGTGATGAATCAAACGGAACTTGCCCACTTCTTTCTTGGGGACCACCCCCAGAGGGGACACCCTCAAATCCGCCAATGGAGGGGCCGAAAATGACCCCGCCATCCTTCCCAATTGGACTTCCTCAACTTCTTCCGAACCACCTCCGGGTGTTCCCTTACCGACTTAAGATTAGCACTTAATTTCCCCGGGCCTTGCGCTTTGAAGGGGATCTTAAAGCCCTCCATGAATCCCTGCCATAAGAACCTAGCCTTGTCTTGATCAGCGTATTGCCTTAGCCAAGGCAACATCATGCCGACTTTCACCGGTGACGCCCCCAGTTGCAGCCGAGGGGGCGGCTGCCCCTGTTGTTCCCCCCCCTGCGGTGGGCTTACCTTTTCTGAAGCATCTGTTGGCCCCGTGGTTCCCGACGCATCCTGAACACTCGTGTCAAAATCTACACAAAGCTCCCCACTTGCATTGCCCCTCATTGTACGACCAGCAGAACCCTTTCTTCTGTCCTGCCGACACCACGCTTCCCGTGGCTGTGCCGGCTGTCCCTGGAAAGGGCGCGCTTTTCTGCGCCATCATAAGCCTCATCCATAACGGCAGGTCCATTTGGTCCCAGCGCATGGTCGGGTTCGCTGCCAGCCGTTGACAACACTGCTCGTCATACTTCCACCACGCTAGTCCCCCGTATGTCCGGTACACATCCCCTATGCCGTCGAGGTAACAGAAAAGTTGCAAGCAGCAATCCGTGCGCTTCTCCCTGATTACGCTTGCGAGAATACAAGAGGCCCTAAGCCAATTCCCGAAGGTCTTTGGTATCTTGCGATACCTCTGCCTTTTCTCCTCCTCCTCTTTTTTAGCATCTTTCTTGTCTTCTTCCTTCAAATCCAAAAATTCCTCGAGGGGAAGAAGGGAAAATATTTCCACGAATTTCCCTTTCCAAATTCTTTCTTTCATTTCCACCTTAAAGTGACATCCCAGAGGCCCCGCAAAAGACACGTGATAATTTTGTCACGCTGCCTCTGAGATGTCACCACATACTACTGCCTGTTCACCTTCCCCTTCCGGCAGCCCCACCGATGAAACCGCGCATCCCGACTCCCCGACACTTGACCTCCTAGCTGTCGTCCCTGCCTTTCTGATTTCCTCCTCTCTGCCACCCTCTGGGGACCACACCCTGCTGAACTTATGTGCCTCCCCTTCCCCCGACCAAGGATGTCCCCGACTGTAGTGCAGTTATGGACTCACCGCTGGTGCCCCCGGCTGCTTCTGGCCGCGGGTTTGCTGTCCTTCCATCCACCTTGCCAGGCACCGGAGCGTCCAGTTGCCGCTGACTCCTGCCCGCCTGGTCCCGCCTCGGAACCGCAAGTGTGGTACTCCGTGACCTGTAAGGAGAAGACAACCTGGGTAGTCTGCTCGTTTGACTCCCTACCCGCCCTTCCTCCCTACGCTCCTGTCCTTCATCCCAGGCTCCGCTCCTCTTTGCCGCCCTTCCTCACCTGACGAAAGTTCCGCGTTCCTGGCCATGGAAACTCCTGTCAGTTGAACCAGAGACGCTGCGCCGGCTTCTCCTCCTCATATCCCTGGAACCGGACCTCCTCAACCCCTCCCTGGAACTGGACCTGGACTCGCTGCGCCTGTGTTGTGATGGGCTCCTGTCCCTGCTTCCTTGCCTCCCCTCCGTGCTCCTATCACTGCTGTGCCTGACGCTAGCACTGTGCCGCTCCTCTCTGTGCTCCCTCCCTGCGCCATCCCTGCCGCTGCACTGTCCCTGGGAGCTGCCGGACAAGCCCTCCCGCCCGTTCCTGTCATCATCCACCCATGTTGGCCCTTGCTCCTCTCCTCCTCTCGCCGCGCCTGGCTTCCCAATAGCCGCCCTGCTTGACTCTGTGCCAACCTCCACCTCATGGCAGCTTGCTTGTTTCCCAGCCCCTGCCATCCTTTGGATGTCCCTGCTGTGCTCCTCCCCCCTTCTGTACTGGACCTGGTCCTGGCCTCCACCCGGGCCGCCTCCTTGCTACCTGTGCCGTCCAGGCCCCCCTTTGCCATCAGGGGGACCGCCTGTGCCGAGGAGCCAGCAGCCCTGCCATCCCACTGTCCCTCAGCAGCTCCCTTGGTGGCAGACTCACCGGGACGTCTGTCCTGCGGACTCCTGACCATGTGATCACCCGCCGGCCCAGCCGCCAACCCGGCAGCACGATGATCTGCCTCCAGACGCGACCTCCTGCCTGCCGCCAAGCTGCGGGGCACCCTCTTCGCTGACAGCTTTAGTTTGGCAGCCATCCTCGTCTGACCGCCAATCCCGTTTGATGGCACCGTCCGCGATCCTGGCTCCTTCGACTTTCCATCACCCGGACCCTCTGCCGTTCTGCCACGTGCTGATGGATTCCTCCGGCGACGAGTTGTAGGCACCATGCCCGGGCTCAGCCGCTGGGGCGGTCTTGTCCTCCGTGACGGTCTTCATTCTTGCGCCGCGAGAGGAGGCGCAGCTGCCCCCAGCTGCTCGTGAAGCCAAGCCAGGCCCTTGTCCTTCACCGCCGCTCGGACTTCAGTCAGGATCTCCTCCAAAGATGCCATGGACCTGCAGAGAAGAGAAAAAAGAAGAACCTCGCCGACCTGTCACAATTAACAGGTAAGTGAGGCTCTGATTAAAATGGCCACTCTCTAAGATGGCCGTTATTTAAACTAACCCTACTCCCCCCCGCCCCACGGTATTATCCTAAACCAACCCCTAATCATATTACACCTGCCCACTCTCTGGCGATGTCAAGGCCCACTCCTCCCACTGCGTTGTTCCATGGGCTCCTGGAGATTTATCAAAGTGTTCTGTTCTAAATAGTATTCTAAAGTGCTAAAAGTGGGCAATCATAGTGGAAACCAGGAGAACTAGCTGACACGTTCCATTGGTGACTACTCCCATTTTACATATTTGCACTGCTTTATAGAACACTTTGAGAAATCTTCCATAGCATTTCTGTTTCTGCCCCTCCATTTAGTATGTTCCTTCTAGGTCACTGATTATTTCCATTCCTATGTAGATATTTGAAGCAGAAGTGGGTAGGTCTCAAGCGATTGACAGGTACAAAGAATGATTGTTTACTTAGGAAGTGGTGGTTTAACTTTAATCTTTTTTTTAGGCTGTTATAATAAGATTATGAAATGCCAGGAGTTAGACATTTGGCTTTAGCCATACAAAACTAGTGGCATACCTAAGGTAGGCAGTAGTTTAATTAGGCAGTCTTCAATGTCAAATTGCATCCAGGTAACACACAGACAATCTCTAGAACAATTCCCATGTACTTTTTGGAATTGAACTCCCTATTGCTTGCAAAGCATTGTGGGAATTGGAGTACAACAATATTTTGAAAGACCACTGCTTGACGCCTCTCTTTTAGTGTTTATCAGACTGCTTTGACTAAAATTGCCATGAAACTGTGTTTACCTGCAGTAGACCAACACCAACTTGATAATATTTAACCCCTTAAGGACACATGACATGTGTGACATGTCATGATTCCCTTTTATTCCAGAAGTTTGGTCCTTAAGGGGTTAAAGGGTTGTTTTAACCCTTATGCGAGGGTGGCCATTCCAAGCCTAAAGCACTGCACATACTGACTCCTGCCATCATGGCCACTTAAAATCACTAAAGTGGTCATGGTGGTTGGAATAACCCTTTAAGTTCTAAAACTGGGAAAACCATTTAGAACTATTTAAATTAATATAATATAATATTGTAAAGCACTACGGAATTTGTTGGAGCTATATAAATGCCAGTAATACTACTAATAATAATATATTGTTGCAGCATGCAAATTAATCTATTATAGGCATCTGTATTATTCAGTGCTTACAAACCCTATTATACATATAATTTGAAGGTTTTATTAACTTTCCCAAAATACCGGTATATATTTTTTTCTTTCACTGAATAAACTTTGTTTCCTGCAGTGATTTATTGCAATTAAAGTGCTAACCAAGATAAACAGTGTCAACATTTTAGGTTGTTTCCTTTTTTTACCAGAAATGGTCTAAATGAAATAGTCTGCAGTAATTCTGCATGTGTGTTTCATCAGCCAGTGTCACAAGTTCCGAGCTCAGCCCGAGGGACAAAAGGGTCTCCTGATTTGCAAGATTGTAAAAAAAAAAAAAAAATCCTTATATATATCCTATAATGTGTTCATCCACCTGTCACTCAATAAGGAGCTTCCCCCTCCTCTTCATCTGAGATACTACAGCTGGGAAGGCAGGCATAGTGAGAGTGAAGTCTGCTCTCCACAGCTGTCAGAGGTAATTCAGGAAATCCAGCTACACTTCATGAAATCTAGGGCTTATTGCAAGGCCTCTTTGCCAAAAATCCAAACACTGACATAAGCTACCGTATTTATGGGTAAAGTGTACCCACTGGAATATTATAGAATCCTGCCATGCCAAGTATATTAGATAAATCAGCAAATCGATTTTTCTAGAGATACTGTTTAATGATGCACAATCAGCGTTGACGCATTCATTTAAAATGTCTTGTATAGTGCCCTTACTTGAGGCTCATTACATAAATTAGCAATGGTACAGTAATTAATGAAAAAAGACATCATAAAAAAAGTAAATACGACACTAGAAAAAAAATTGATACGTACTTTAAAGTACATAACATAAAAGCAATAAAAACAAAAACAATCAAGGAGTGTGTGAATCCTTAGAATTAGTTAGAATCTTGCTGTGTTGGTTATTACGGGAAGAGGTTAGATTGATGGACACAGTGGTGGGGTGACTAGGGGTACTAAAAGGATAATGAGGTTAAATAAGCCGAACTGATAAAGACTTACCTTGATAAGGTATGTTTTCAAACAAAACTTTGTGAAAAAAACTAGCTTTGGATTCCCCATATTCAACCATCTCCCCCACCCCCCCACAGTTTAATTAGATTTATTTTTCTTTTAGTGCACCAAAATAAAAAATATATATAAAATAAGATGAGGTTAACTTACGTGTTCTCTTTTTTTTTTTTTTGTGCAACACAATATGAAAACAAATAATATGAGGATGACGTATATGGTCAACCATAATTCTTTTTACTCCATTGTCTGATAATAATTTTTACTCTACAGCCTGTTTTGTAAACCTGTATGTATTTGTTCATCTGACTGTAATATGCATGAAAAAAAATGTGAAAGTGATTGGATGGCCAGGTGGGAAGAGGTTGGGCAAAAGTGTGTTCGGTATTTCAGTAGTATGGATTTGGAGTGAGAAGAGGAGGTGAGATAAAGGTGAGTGTTACCAAATCAAAAGTCAGTAGACATTTTCCGATGTGAGGAACATGAGAAGACTATTGTTAAGAATGCTATGGACATGGACAGCTCTATTTGGAATGTGTTGAAGCAGAATGATGGGGTATTACAGAGATCTGCGGAGCAGGGAGTTGCAATGTTAAAGGCAGACAAAGATGAGGAAATGGATAAGGAGTTTTATGACAGAGAAAGTGAAGAGCAAAATATATTTTTTTAGATACTAAAATGTGGAAAGTGGCAGAAGGAGGGAATATGAGGATGTCAAGGAGATATGACAAGATACGGGAAGAAGACAGAATGGCAGAGGGCCGGGATTGATGGAGAAGAGGATATCAAGTAATACATTTTAATGAACATCTAATGGAAGAGGAATGCTACAAAATGAGTTGCCACAATTAATAATAAACATTTGTGGGATGGGAGATTGTATTATGGCGGTGAGGTGGGACTATCACATATTCTAGGAAAGGAGGCATAGGTAGCTGTAGGGGAGAAGGTAGAGGTGGAGTTTGGACAGGAAACAAATGTTCTAAAATATTTCCTGTAGTTATTCCAGGAATCTGTGAAGTTCAGTATCATGTATTTTTAGCAACCAAACTGTCAGCACTCTAGTACTGGAAAACACCTAATATACTAAAGCCAGTGGTACATAAATTCTGTAATATGACCACAGGTTTTGCGTCCACCTGCCAGGCAGAGCTAAGAAAGAGACTTCATTCAGATCATTTCAATTTTGTCCTGTTTTTTAATGGTGGCTGCTTTGTATGCTATGTACTGCTTTTGTTTCTTCTTTTAATGATTTTTTTAAGTAATGCACATATTTTTACATATCCCTCCCACACTCTTTTCATTTCTGTGCCTCAGCTAAATTATTGACAGTCAGTCATTGTGCCACGATCCTAATGAAAGCATAGCTGGAAACAAGCACATGCTACATACATACGCACTTATCTTATGCAGTGCAATCCTGCCTCGCTACCTAACTAATAGTTCTGTTCCTTAGCACCAGCTCCAGACAGTCACCTGGCTAGCGAGCATCACCCCCTTTGACTTAGTAGCCCTGTCAAGCACTATTGTATTGAGCTTTCTTTTTATATCAGGGAACTGCTTTAAGTAAAATAAATAATAATAACTGTTATATAGTCCTGCCCCTCCACTACTTGTAAAGATTTGTTTCTGAAGAGTTGGCCCTCATAGCACCCTCTCCCCAAACAACACCTATGATTTAATATGCTTCTAAATAGCTGCTTGTGTCTAAATCACTATAAACATATTTTTTGAGTGTTCTAATTTTACATAAAGAAAAGTATGGACCATGGGAGCTAAGGTTCTGTTGCAGTTGCCAATCAAATTTACCCACTATCCATCAGTAAAATGAAGGGCATATAGCAGACTTCAGTAACAGGGAAGATCAAAATGGCTGCTGCTAGAGAGCACGATTTGGCACAAGGAAGAAAAGAGATTAAATATTAGACTTGGAAATTTGTTTTGTTACAAACTGCAATTCATCTACATTTGAGCCGACCAGGGGATGGTCCGAATTCACAATTTTCAAACCACTATTTAGACTAATTATGATACAAACGACTCGCACCGTGGACGAGCACGTTTGTCTGATTAACTATTTGGATTTCTGCCCATGGCACAAAAAAATAATAATAATTTATTCATGGGAAAAAAGATGATTGATGGTTATGGGACAGCCGGTAAATGTCGCTTTTTATACACAAACCGAGAATTAACCAATAGAAGGAAAAAAGGCGGAGCGGTAAAAAATCTTTAGTTATTATTTTTTTTTTTAAATATCTAGAAATATAGACTCGTTTATTGCTCCACTTCTTTTCCATCTTAGAGGGGTAGGCAACCTTCGGCTCTCCAGAAGTTGTGGACTTCATCTCCCATAATGCTCTCAATGCTGGCAAAGCATCAAGGGAGATGTAGTCCACATCATCTGGAGTGCCAACGGGTACCTCCCCCTGTTTATTGGTTACTTTTTCTCATTTGATCTGTGAACCAAATATTGGGAAAATGTGCCTATCAGGGCAAGGAAGGGAAAACCAAAAGAAAAAACCATGACAGAGCTGCTTTATGCTGTCTGCTAACAGATCCTGAAACACTATCACAAAGTCCCCAAACAGCAAAGCCAAAACATCTGCTTCAAGGCTAGTGGTTTATTTTTGTACTCGGATTAGCTTTTAGCAACATCAGTTTAACTCAATATTGCAATGGCCGGGCCAGGCAGTTTATAATTAGTAAATACATTTTCAAACAGAACTTTAAAACAAATGTGAAAAAAAACAGGAAGAAAAAACTGATAGAAACATGTAATACCTATTCTGGTTACCAAACATTGTCAACTATGGATGAGTGGGGCTGCAGGTAAACATAGCACGTGTAACAGAAACAAATTCACAACCATCACAATTAGGCGGTTCTGGATGTAAAGGTATTGATGTCACCAGAGAGAGTCTTGGGTCATCAGTTCATAGTGTGAAACTGCAGCCAGGAAAGATAACATATACCCTACATACATGCAACCACGGTTTTTAAATAGGACAAGTTTAATGAAGCAAATAAAACAGCAAATAGGTAGAGTTAGCTAAAGATTTTATTGTGCATAATAGTTTTTATAAAGAATTGTATTGTGCTTTACCTCAAACATCTGGTTGGAACTTAAAAATATACAATACAAGAGACCATTTATATCCTGTATATCATGTTAGTCAGGCCTGCAGGAATCCATTACATTATGCTTGTTCAGCTTAGTATTTCTCTCTGTCCTTATTTTATTTTTTCTTGGACAATGAAGCTCAAAATTAGGATCATTAAGACGCCTCTTGTTGCTAAGCATTCCCATTTAACGGGTGGCTTGGCATTAAACATCAGTCAATTGCTAGTAATCTGTTTTATGTCAAAAGAAAATATGCCAATGTTTTAGGCTATTCTGTCAAATGTACTAACCAGAACGGTGCGTTCTTTATGGTTCATTGTTTAAAATATTTTGTGCAATTTGTTTTAATAAATAAGGCTCACAGCTTTGACGTGGTTTACAAGCTTTCCCAGACATGTGAATTGGCCCGATCTTCCAGTATTCACAAATTATGTTAAATGATTCTCTCATCCATACAAGGAGTCTTCAGCTGTCAGCGGTGTATTTTTGAGCCAATGATTATGATGGGTGTGCCTATGACAGATAGAATTGGCCTTAATTAGTGGACTATGGTATTTTTAATTCAAACCAAAAAATCTCACGTACTTGCCCTGTGAGTGGAGAATCTGAAAAAAAAAAAAGAACTTGCTATATAAAAACTGAAGCCCAATTGTTTCTTTGCATAAGGACACTACATTGACAAAAACAAACAAGCAAAAAATTAATAATGCGCCTTGGGTTTTGCCATGTGTATATGTTATGCAAGTAGAGAGCAACTGGTATTAAGCAACGACTTTACATAGGGTTGAAGAGCGCAAAGATTTCTTGTGTCCAGTAGCCATCACTGATTTAGTGTTACACAGGCAGACGAACAGAAAAACAGACAGACCAATAGATAAACCATTAAAGGGTGACTGTTGCTTCAAAAGAGTGTTGATATTTATTTATCCACTATGTTTAACAAACTTGTTTGTGAGGTGTGGAAAATAATATTAATTGCAGCAATCCACAAAACCACATTTAACTCTACCTTGGAACCGAGCACTCTATCTTGGCTCCCATAATCTCTGCCATCTTCTGTCATTGAACATAGCAAGCAGTGCCTGCTGGTGAAGCTTAACGATGGAGGGAGCTGGACACTACCTCTGGATTTTGACACTGCTCTCTCACTTGTTTGTTTGTGCCATTTAACCCCATCTACTCAGCTCTTGACCCAATGAGAGGTCATTTTCTGTTAAACAACATAAAGCCACTTTAAAGAGATATGACTCTACACCCTGACATCCCTTGTAAACAGGAACATATTGCAGGCCTTGTAAAATGTTCAGATTTGGTAGTTCACAGCAAATGTGTGACCTTAGAAACACAGAGAATGGGACATTTTGTCAAAAAATACACCAACATTTAAAAAAAAAAAGTCTCTATTGACAGCAGCATAAAATCAGGAGAAGGAGAATTAGAATCAATGCAATATGGGACATGTTTGTGCCAAGAATTAATTGGATTGTAATGGCAATTTCTAGATCTTTAACTTACATTATAAAACTCAAATGATCACGTGAAAAATAGGTTATAGGTAATTTTCAGTGTTTTATTCAACTGTGTACTTTAAGACTAGAAAGGTTTGACTACTGACCAGTGTTAATTTTGTCGACTAACAATTTTAGTCATCTAATTTTTTTTGAGATTTAGTCGACTAAAACTAGACTAAAAAATTCAGATGGCTAAAATACAACTAAAACTAAAATTACCTTTTAGTCAAAAGACTAAAATTAAAACTAAATTGAAATTTGCCACCAAAATTAACACTGCACAGAGGGGATGTGGAAGGGGCAAAAGAGACAGACCAGGCCTTGGGGGAGACACCTAGAGGGACTAGGAGGACACAAAGAGACACAGAGGGACTGCGGAAGGGGCAGATGAGACAGACAGAGGCTCTAACTAACCCCATTAGATTTTAGTTGTGTCGTTTAAAATCTACTACATATTTAGTCAGCTAAAACCAGACTAAAACTAAAACAATTCAGATGACTAAAATACGACTAAAACTAAAATGGCTTTTTTTGTCAAAAGTCTATGATTAAAACTAAATTGAAATTTGCCGCCAAAATAAATACTGCTACTGACACTTTACGAGGCAAACCATTTAACCTATTTTAATTCACAGTGTGATTAGGAAAAGAGCTTGTGCCTAATTCTATAAGAGGATTAACATTTAAATACTTTAAGATCAATGCTTCATTTGTATGCAACTATCTGCATAGCATTCATCAGTTATACACTACACGTAGGATTCAAAATTACCACCCAGAAAATAATGAGGTGCGGGTTTATGCATTCCTACTCAATTGTTATGGCTGCCCGGAAATTCATATTTTCTGAATCAAAGCTTCTGTGGTCACCTGTTTTTTTCAGTGAAAACCAGATCTTGGCTGCTTCAATACAAACCTTTCTTTAATAAGCATTTATTGAGGAAAAAATGAATATATTTTATCTGTTCATCATCAATGTTACCAAGTAAATCCAATATATTTTGCTGCACATAGAATGATGTAACAAATAATATAACAGGGATTTCCTAATGGATCTTTTAATAAATATAGAACATTCTTTGATATAAGACGAGACCAGTTAATCTGTTATTTTTACTGGATGGACATGAATTGGAAAGTTTATGGATACTTGTATAATTTGGTTTAATACAGGATTTTGTCTTTTTCACCATTACACTATTTTTTCACCATTTATGAATGTTATAAAATTCTTAGTTTCAGAGATACTGAAAGGTTATTTATTTATTTTAATGCTTTAGCCTACTGCCTGAGACTCAGGCCCTGGGGAGTCAGCATAGCTAAACGGACAAGGGCACATGTATGAGTGTGGGGATGGTGCTAGTGATTGGCTGTATGTGTTTAGGGGAGTGGTTATGGGTTTGTAGTGGGGCAGGGATCATCTTACCTCAGTGCCTTTTGGGATTCTGGCCAGCAAACAACTTCCCACCCACCCACCCTAATTTTCTGTTTTTGTTCCGTCACAGCTAGCGGGAGCGTGTCCTTGCCAACAGGGTTGGGGAGCAGATGGAATGTCAGGAGATGGACATGGTGGGTCTCAACCTCCCCTGCTCTGTAAGGTAAACTTTTAAGTTACCAAATAGGACGTGCCCACCGAGCAAAAAGCCGGCTGGTGGTAGAGCATTTAAGATGATGGGAATTTTTGGTTTGGACGAGGGGGGAGGCGAGACACCAGTGGGTAAAGTTTTGGTGCATAGGCACCTGGTTAAGTTCGTTGGCAAGGACGGTTATTTAAGTTGGAGGCTGTAGGGCAATAAGTGTAATTTATATGTTAATTTATATGTTAATTATGGTATGTATATATATTTATCTGTTATTTATATTTGAATTAAAGAAAAAGAATAAAGTTCGGATGAGTCCTACAGTTGTAAGTTAAATAAATGCTGCGGCCTGTTTCATCCAATATTCGTTGTTTGTCATTATTGGGGGGAGAATTGGGGTAGTCTCCTTACTCTTAGTCGCACCACATTCCCCGCTACGTACATACATGTATAAAAGGTCAGCTCGTGCCAAAGAACATTGATTGGTGGAAACATCACTGTGAGAAGTCACCAATAAGAATTTTAAACAACCCCTCATCATTTTTCTTTTGCGTAAGATGTCAGAAATGAGTAGAATTTTAAACATTTTAAGGTACATAATGCAAACTTTCGTTTGTATGTCATAATAATGTAATAAAATTACTTAAATACATTGCTAAACAAATACAGAAGCAGGATTTTTTCTCCTTAAAGAGGACATGTCACTTTCAGGTAAGTGACTATTTATCATTACTTTAATACAATAAATGCTATTTCAGAGTTTAGAATGTAGAAAAAAACAAAAACAAATGTTAGCACAACCATTAGTCAGCTATTTGTGATTATTTATCGGCTTTGGATAAATTTAAAGGGACACTATAATCACCTTTACCACTGCAGCTTGAAGTAGTGGTTATAGTATCTATAACCTGTCCCTGCAGGCTCAGCATAGAAATGCTGCCTTTTCAGAGAAAGTCTTCCTGTGCAATGTTTGCAGGACCTATGTTCAGAATATCCACACTCTGCATGAAGACACTGAACACTATCCATAGAGATGCATTGAATCAATGCATCTCTTTGAGGAGATACTGACTGGCACAGCATGTGTTTTGCCCCACATGGACAATGACCCCAAATACTTCCTTGTGGGGAAGCATCGGATTGGCTGAGATCATCAAATTTGATGATCACAGTCAAGAAAGCATGACAGCCACAGAGAGGCCAGCAATGTGAGGGAGCAAAGGTAAGTAAAAAATTAAATTTTACTTAACAGGGGAGGGGGGAAGTGGAGGGAGGGAATGGGCACAGGCACTTAGCTTTATAATGTTGCTTTAATGTGGCATCCCATTAATAAAACATGACCAAATTTTATGTCACCTGGTACTGCGTAATCTCAGAGTATCCATTGGGTATCCTTACTCTAAATGGCCATTTTCAAATACAATTTATTGGTGTGTTCTAATCTATAGAGTTTGTGCATATCAATCAATTCATTTTATTTAATCAAAACGCAAGAGAGGATCAGTTCCAGATAGAAAAAAATTCCCTGTTAAGGCTCAATAAGAGAAATTCTTGGATATCATAAGTACGGTGTGACAGTGCTGTTTTAATGTTGCCAATTTTAAAAAGAGTTAAATAAGATAGTGACAGAACATGCATTGCACATAACGAAGGTGTTTTACAATTGAATATGACCCTAGGAAAAATGTATATAATGTAAATCTAGAGAAAGATAATGATGCAATGACACTGCTGTTTTATGACAGTAGCATCATTAAAAGAACACTATAGCTTTAAAACTCTGTATCACTAACACTATAGTGCCCCTGCCCCTTCTTGTAGTCGGAGCCCCTCCTTCTCCCCCGGGTACAATAAAATGTAAAAATAAATAAATCAGATTTACTCACCTTTCTGGGGGGACCAGGTCGTCCAAACCCACTTCCCTGTCCTGGGAAAGATATAGACATGCCTTCCAATGTTAGCCGATGGGCTGAGCAATCCGGACGCGGAACGAGGTCTAGATACTCCGCCCCTCAAGACCTCCCACGTTGACCAGCTAATGGGCTTTTCTCATGAGCAACAGGTATTTAAATGGAATGACAAGCCGTTCATACTCACATGCTCCTGATGATGGCATCTTGATACGCCGAAAAGCGCATTGAGCCTTTTCCTTTTTCTTTAATCACAGCACTTGGTAGCACTTTTCAGTTCATTACCACTATGGTTTTTGTTTTTTAGGTGTTCCTTTCATTTCATTTATAACTTTTGTAGGGAGCGATGGTTTAGGTAGACACTAGTGGCTAGACCACGGTGTTGAGGTAACCTTTAGGGAGAGCTGGTTTTATTGAGGTCTTTTATTTTATTTGTGTACAGATAAGTTTTTCTCGCCGTTCTTTCCTGTGGACCTCTTGTTTTTTTCTCTCTCTCTTACCTCGTCTATACTATCTTCCCTTTTGTCGGATACTAGGGAGACTGGAGTTTTTGGTATTTTTAGCACTGCAGTTTATGGATCCCCATGGTACTGTTTAGTTTATTGTTTGCATATCCCATTCATCCCTAAATTCTTAAAGGTAGGGTTTCCATTTTATATTAGTGGAGCTCCCCTGCTGTTAGTTTCCCATTGCGGGACATTATACATTGCTCTCTCCTTGTTTCTGTGCATTTAAAGGGTTACCCCCTTGCTCTAGGAGCTCCCTATTAGGTGGTCACAGAGGTGCAGCCCACGAGCCCTTGACTTGCGTCCGGGCTCTTGGCCTGCACTCTGTTTATTTTATTTCTCTATTTTTGTTACAAAATAAAGAGGCCTTAAAACAAGACATCACAGAATGCCGGGTCAGTCGGTAGTGTCAATGTCAAATCATTCTTCAAGAATTGGTTGACACAAACACTTTTGATTAGAGCACAAGGCCGTACAGCAGTTCTTGGTTGAATAAGGTCAGGAAACTATTTGAAGAGGCAGAATGGTACTTGTAAAAGGTTTTTGAATACTAATCAACCAATTAGTCTCATATTTCTTTGATCTCTTTTAATACACGTAATAATGTTGGCCCCAGATGAAGAGATGGAGGGAGAGCATTGTTCCGTTTCAGCTGCATAGCTATAACATAACTATTGTGTACTAGCACTCGCTGTACTATGTACCTTTATAAAATCAGAATTCCTCCGCTTAAATATTTTTGATATTGCTATTTAATTTGCTGTTTTGCCCGTTACACATATAATGAAGTGGCAGACAAAGTTGAAGCTTCAAAGTCTTAATCGACATGTGTCCGGCGTCCGCTGGTGAAAATAAGAAGGAAAACTCCACAATGTAAATCTTTCAAACAGTATATATAACAAGTCAAAGACAATTTTATTTTGCAGAATCCAGAACCACACTCTTTTTCAATACCATTTTTCAAGAATTTGACCTTTCATATTATACAAAAAAAAAACCCTCAAAACAACAACTAACAATTGGAATTTTTGGTAATTGAAAGTCTTTTTCCTGTCTCGTCTCTTTTTCATTTTCTCCATTATTAGCTTTGTATTTGTTCCACGCACCTGCTAACACCTTGAAGGAATGAGAGATCCATGCTGTGTTGAAACACAAGGGAAGGGTGCGGTTCAGTGTCTTGGAATTTACTCTGTGTGATCTATTCTAGACGTCCAATCTAGAGATCTTCGTTTAGAACATGGTATAGACAAACCTTGGGGATTTTGGAACACATTATTATACTTTGTTATTTCAGCATGTTCCAAGCAAAATGGGGCAGCAGGCGTTAGGTTACCAGCTGATATCATTATGCTTTAGGTTTCATTTATTTGTTGGAAGCACCGTTGAGCAATTTGCCAATATCATAAAAGTCTGAGCTGAACAGGTTTAATCTATTGTGCATTTTAAATGGAATTTTATGGCCATTTCTCTCTATATTTTTCCAGCCCTATTATTGCACAGCAAGTGCTCTCTGATGTTCTACAAATCCAATGGATGAGTGCCTTACATCAAAAATAAACTATTAGTGACAGACCAGGATTAAAACTATAATAGGAGTGCAACTGATATTTTGCAGATGTAGAAATGTATATCCAACTCTGAATTTATTGACTTTATTCCTAATTTTTATTCTTACATGTTATGAAACTCACAAGACATCTTATATAAAATACAAACTAAATGTTTCAATGGAATGAGTCAATGTAAACTATGCAGATAATGCATGTCAGTTAAAGCGCCACTGACACGTCGCACTTACCGTTTTCCGAGCGATTCCTCTTTTTTCCTCTGTTTTGTCTTTTATTATATTTTCATCTATTTCTAACTAAAAGCATAAGACAAAGAAGGGACTACTTTATCCTATGTATTTTTTATATGCCAGACTTTCTTAGACACTGAGTTAAGCGTAAGTAAGCTCCACTTCCTGGGTCTACTAAATTCTCCTGCAATACTTACCTTTCCAAGCAAGCCTCCCTCCACTGTATGAAGTGGGCATGCGCAGGAATTTGACCGCAGAGAGCTCGTGTGGGCTGATGAAGGCGATGCCATAATCATCATTTTCTGGAATACTAATATGGAAAAAGATCCGTTCAATACACGAGAGAGTAAAAAAGGTGAAATGGGGGATTTAGAGGCATTTGAAAGTGATTGGGGGCACAGTAAAATATAGAGGAGTCAGGAGACGGGTAAAAAAAAACCGGATGCGGTCAGGATAGCGTCGCTTTCATTTTCTAATCACCAAAAGCAGGCAGGTTTCCCAAAGCAGTCTAAGATTCAGCAGTAGAGTTGACACTATAACCAGCTCCATCCGTAGAATACTTTGCTGAATTTTGCAGGCACTCTGTATTTTCTCTCATTTTAATACATATCTACTCCTATGCTTATTATTCTTTCAGATTTTGCTAGAGGGAGCAATCTGATACTTGCTCCGCCCCCCATGTCAATCCATTTTAAAGCAGTTTGACAAAAAATTAGGATCTCCTAGTCACCTTTAGTCAAACACCTCACTTGCTATATTGCTAAAGCAAAAGAACAAATCTGTCCATATTCAGGCGTCACAGATAGTTATGGTGTTATAGCAGTTATTGTGCTTAAACTGTTTCAGGACTTTTACCCACACCCCTAACTATTACTAACACAGAATTATTTGCTTAAAGCAGGTCTGTCACTTTTCAGTGTTTCCAAACCGTGAATATTTTAGTGAAATTCAAAGATACCATAAAACAAAGCAGGGACAAGTTTCCCTTATGGAAATGCCTGAATGTGACAAAAGTTGGCAAAATGCAGAGCTCAATTGTCAACTTTTAATAAATCCCAGTTGCTGCCCACACAGAGATTTGGTGGTCCCTTGCACTGCCACAGGTGATGGCTGTGGGATACAAGCATTGATCCATTTTTTATTACTGGCATTTATAAAGCGCCAACATATTCCACAGCGCTGTACAATTGGGAAAATGACAATACAATATAAACAGTCCAATACAAAAGGTAGAGTGCCCTGCCCGTGAGCTTACAACCTAAAGGTTAAAAGAGGAGGCGAGACAAGAGGTAGCAGAATAATTTGGGGGTGATGGCAGAGAAAATTAATAGTATAATTGCAGTAATTGGCAACATGTGAAGGGAATGAGGAGGTGGATGACTGTGACTGTGATTCCAAACAGTTGGAAGAGCATGATATATAGTTAGAAGGAATCAGGGTGGGGAGGTGGGAACAGCTGTGTTGAAATTAAGTTGCTTTGTTGTAGAGATGGATGTGTATTGGGAGTAGAGATATAATTTTTTTTTTTTTATTCTGTATTTTATTAGTGCATATATAACAGCATGCTTGTGTTGCCACAATAGCAAGGAGCAAGCATATTAATACACATATATTAACAGCGGCATTGAGTGTAAATGCACATTTTTGGTTATATGTGAGGACCGAAGATAACACTTCGAGGAACAAAAATATAGGAAACAACAATAGCATTTAACTTCGGTTATGCGAAGGTGTGTGTGTAGTCATCTGCGGTACAGTTATTTATGTGCGTGTACTTGGTTCGGGGGCGGTGTGGTCGCGTGTCCACAGGTACATGAGGTGGCTTCCCTCAGTTGTGGTCTATGCGAGTGGGTCGGTGGGCCCCGGTTATGATAGGCGGGGGGTGGGTGCTACCGTTCTATGTACGGGTGTCCTGAAGTGTAGCAGTCATGTCTGTCCATTGGGTTGTGTGTCAGGGCATCCTCAGCCGGATGTTGCCCCTTGGTCTGGACGAGGGGCTCGCTTCAGGGGGGGGGAGTCCTACGTGTGTCTGCCTGTATGGGGTGGTAGTTACCATTAGGAGATGTTACAGTGCTAACATTACTATGTATGTGTTTTTAGTATTTTTAATAAAGGTTTTTCAAGCGCCTGCTGCCGATATTGGGTCTCTGATGTACCTGGGTCCCACTAATATTAAGAGTGTGGCAGTATACCCTCCTGAAGATGGGTTAATACCGCCTATGGCCACCCCCTCCTGGTTGTGATAGCTCCAGAGTGATTATAGCTAGAATATAGGTATTGCTGAAGGGGTATCCGCAGTATCACCCAAACACGAGCCGAGGCTTAGTGAAGGGTGAAGAACTGTTTATTCCCAGCCAAATGGCTCACATTTACACAGAATCTGGTACAGTAGATAGTCCCCAGAAAAAGCCCATAAACACACCCACAAAATGTCCACAAAATGCATTGTGACTCAGCAAAAACAGTAACAAATATGAAAAACTATTTATCACACATTTCCCACATAGGAACCCACACAGTCTATACATCCCCGAATAGCCTGGATCTGAGCACCCAACATATCTGAAAAGCACTCAGATCCTACAAACATGAAATATGACCGAAACACCACCATGTGGAAGTTCTGACCGGCCGCACACATGATCCTATACCCAAAAGAGTTCCAGGGCGTTTTGTGCTTTTGGCCGGTCAACTTTGGGAGTTCTATGTGAAAGAAATACCGAACTCACACTCTGGCTTTTAATAGAGTTTGTTTGTATAACCATACGCACAAACCTACCGAATGGCGCTCTCAGTGACGTGTGTGAAAAAGGAGTTCAGCCCCCTGAACTTAGCATAAATGCGTCTAATGATGCGCTAGCTCTACTCTGTCTAAGGACGGTCCCCTAGCACTCGCTGGCCCACTCCTCTCCTAACCTTCTTATTACCAGATAGAATCTCCTGTTATACAGTCTTGGACAGAGAAAGAGTGTATGTAACATATGTAGAAGGAAGGGAACATGCCACAGTTCACAGAGAGAGACTGAAGCAGCAAGAGCATTTGCATAGTGAGCAAAGTCATCTTTACCTTAACTAATTTAATTGTCAGCCAGTCCACACCAGGTTTGTTCCCCTACATCCATCTTAAGTCTCCATACTTAAGCAAGAGCATGTGAAGAGTAGTAAAAAAATTGTTTTATTTTTTATCAATGGGCCTATTCTATAGGCATGGACCTGCAGCAGCAGCTCCATTAGTCCCTATATTAATCGGGCCATGGTCTGATGTAGTGCAGCATTTCATCTGTGCTTACGTCTGCAGGGATGCCCCTTACTTTCAAGTTATGGCATCTCCTTTGATCTTTCAGTGTCTCTACTCGAGTGGTTGTGTTTTGCTTAACCCGTTGGATCTCCTCCAATTTATGCTCCATTGAGGCCAGCCTATAGTCTTGGGTACTTTTTGTGGTTTTCAGCAGTGTGATTCTAGTGGTGACACTCTCAATGGAGACCTTAAATTGTGAGAGTGTGCAGTTATACCTGTGGGCAGTTCTCCCAGCATAGTTTTTAAATGAGCCGCTGTCATCAGCTCCTAATCTTCGGCGACGGGGGCAAGCTTTCCACCAGGCACTGTGCCAAAGGATGTGCCCCCTTCTGTGTCTGCGGCAAAATCCTCTGATGAAAATAATGAGCCTTGGTCAGGCAGTGCCATTTTGGGCCATGCGGCTTGGTGCGAGCACCGGAGGAGGTCGCTGGTATCCTGGCTATTTGAAACTGCTGGTGCCTCTGGAGTCCCACGGACATCAAGTCCTCCAGAGTCTTGCAACTGTGCATAAACCTTCTATTCGGCCACCACTAGCCAATGCTCACAAGCAGAAACGGCTGCATTGGGCAGAAAAATACATGAAGACTAATTTTCAACAGTCCTGTTCACTGATGAGTGCCGTGCAGCCATGGATGGTCCAGATGGATGGAGTAGTGGATGGTTGGCCCTGTTCCAACAAGGCTTTGACGTCAGCAAGGCGGTGGTGGAGTCATGTTTTGGGTCGGAATCATGGGGAGAGAGCTGGTCAGCCCCTTTAGGGCCCCCAAAGGTGTAAAGATGACCTCTGCAAAGTATGTGGTGTTTCTGACTGACCACTTTCTTCCCTTGTACAGAAGAAAGAATAATTACCTCTGCATCAATGGCTACTATGGGGATAAAAGGAGAGAAAGTCATGGTGTGGCTTCCATTCTCCCCTGACCTTAATCCTATTGAGAACCTTTGGAGCATCCTCAAGCAAAAGATCTATGAGGGTGGGAGGCAGTTTACATCCAAACAGCAGCTCTGGGAGGCTATTCTGACATCTTGCAAACAAATTCAAGCAGAAACTGTCCAAAAACTCACAAGTTCAATGGATGCAAGACTTTTGAAGCTGCAATCAAATAAGGGGTCCTATGTTGAAATGTAACGTGACCTGTTAAAAAGTTAAAAAAGTTGAAATGTTTTTATAAGTTTGATTGAAATAGTTTTTGATTTCAGTAAATATGCTGCAAACACAACAAATGACTATTTTCAGTTCTTTACAACCTATAAAGTGTTTTGAAACTTACTGTGCGTAATAATTTGGAACAGTGTAAGTTTTTTATGTTAAAGAAAAATACTGTGATCATTAGGAGGTTTGTTCAATAAAATTTTAATTGTACTCTTCATAGTTGATAACATGAGAATTATGCTGACTGTTATTTACATCAATTATTTAGGTAAATGAGAAAAATAGCATTTGCATAATAATTTGGAACAAGGTGTATATAAATAAAATGTCTCCTCTAAAAACAGAAGGGGTTATACACTAACCTCAGAATTGGCATTCAAATTGCAACGTTTTAGGAAAAATTTCTATAACTAGAGACAAATTGGGGGTCAATATGTTATTATGGGAGGGTGATAATGTGGCGGCATGCACATCCAATATTGTGAAGAGAGGCAACAGAAGAAAAAACGTGGATGGTAGGTATTCAGGGTGACCTGCCAGATTCTTGATTGTTGGGGCTTAAGATGCACTAATACTGATCTCTCTCTTGTTAAAAGTCAGGAAAATTACAAATGGACAAATCAAAATTGAAAAAAAAAATCAAATATACATCTGATTAGGAGGTATGAAATCAGGACTCGGTTGGGTGGGTCTAAGAGTGTGTGCCAGTAATACTAAATGTGTCCCTGGCTGTGGCGGCCACTCGGATAGGGACACGGGTCTCGCCGCCAAGGATTTCCTTTTCCCCTATCTGGAACTCTGCTGCGCCGGATTCAGTGATATAGCTGCTTAAGTGATTATAGCTGCCAAATTATTAAAGCTCTGGAGTAGTGATGTCCCGAACGGTTTGCCGAACGGTTCGCCACGGATGGCGAACATATGCTCTGTTCGGTCCGCCCCCTATTCGTCATCATTGAGTAAACTTTGACCCTGTACCTCACAGTCAGCAGACACATCAGCTCACTAAGAATGCAGCTTCACAATGAATGTAAAATGGATGCTGTCCAGGAGGTGGGAGGGTCTGGGAGGGAGGGTCTGCTGCTGATTGGCTGGAATGTGTCTGCTGACTGTGAGGTACAGGGTCAAAGTTTACTCAATGATGACGAATAGGGGGCGGACCGAACAGTGCATATGTTCGCCGTCCGTGGCGAACAGTTCGGCGAACCGATCGGAACATCCCTACTCTGGAGTGATTATAGTCTTCCCCAACAGACATTAGCCGAAACTTCATGCTGGTATTTACTGTTTTAATGAGGTATGGTACAGGCAATTTATACATAGACCCCCAGCAGGGGGTCTACATACAGTTACATACAAACTCCCGGCGTCTCTGTGTCTGGGAGATAACTGAGTGTACTTTTGCTTAAACTAATTATCTTCCAGGCACAGATGTACAATGTTCAAAACACAAAACACCCCAAAACAGATATAATATTACAAGGGACCTCCTCAAGTACTATATTCCTGGATAGCCTAGATCTAAGCGCCGAACATATCGAAATATCGCTCATATCCCATGAACACAGCCAAATCGCCACTGGGGTAAAGTTTTGACACCTGCCCAAAATAGTTCCAGGAGAAAGGTGGTGGTGGCGGTCTGTCTCTTTCGGGAGTCCAAAAACAAACAAAACACCGAACAGATTGTCTGGCTCCTAGGTAACGATTGTTCGCCTAGTTCGTGCGAACAGTCCTACCGAACAGGGCTCTTCTGAGGCATGAGGAACGAAAACAGGCGAGGATGGAAGTTCAGTGGTGTTCGCGAGTTAGTCTGTCTGATTTCAGTTCCATGCATTCGATGACCGAACACCGCAGGCTTCTTTCGTGCAACAAGAGGGCCAACTCATTTTCCACATGTTCGTCTATGCGAATGGCGGACACTCAACAGAACACTTGTAGTAATGAGGTGCAAACCGATAATGGGGTGTCAATAGGGATCAATGGGGTTAACAATCTCCAAGGTGGGCTGAGTACTGGAGGTATAACAAGGGTAATTTGTGGGTTTGTTTGGTTAAAGAACTGGAACGAGGAATTAATGTGAACCAAGTATTGTTAGTCACAGGGTGTTCTGTCACACTGCTCCCCCCTTGTATGGTGCTCCTGCAGACACGGCTTGACCCTTTTCAACTTTGGGATGTCCAGACTTGTTGATTATCTGGTGAGCTTGGTTTGCCTTGATGACCTGTCGGTCTTCCCGTTCTGCTTACTGGACTGGTAATGGATGATGAAGTTGTAAGTTTGTAAAGCTAAACTCCACCATAGTAATCGAGCATTGTCTCCTGCCACCCGGTTAAGCTATACCAACGGGTTGTGGCCGGTTATCAAAGTGAAGGCTTGTCCATATAAGTAAGGGGTCAGTTTCCCACACCAAGGCTACACGCTCTTTTTCCACTGCCACGTATCTCACTTCTCTGGGTAACAACAGGGTTCTCTCCTCCGTCTTTACCTACTTGGCTTAGACATGGAAGTGTCTGTGTGGACGATAAAACGTTTGTTAGAGACTGGGGCAGCCAAGACAGGTGCATTAATCAGTACTTGTTTTAGTGACTGTAAGGCTGTCTCACATTCCGGGAACCACAGGACCTGCCTAGGTAGATTTTTCTTAGTCAGGTCTGTCAGGGGTTTGGCAACAGCACTATAGTTAGGGACGAAGTGCCTATATTAACCAGCTGTCCCTAGAAAGACCATAACTTGTATCTTGGTTCAGGGTGTAGGTCAGTTTGCGACGGCCTCAATTCAGGTTCTGGTCGCTGCTTCCCACACCCTACTTGGTGCCCTAGATATTGCACATCTGCAATACCCATCTGGTATGAAAAAAAAGGAGTTAAGGGCTACGCTATTGTACAGAGAACAGTACCATAAAATAGAAACCAATTTGGTTGAAGTGTATAATCAGCAAGTAATAAAACCTGGGTATAATAGTCTCTATTGCAATTATATAAAAATAATGAATAAAACAGAGTCCATCCAGATGTTCAATAAAAATCAAATGATAAGAAAAAATGTTGAATAAAATCAATAAAAACAGTCTCACTGATATATGGATAGGGTATGTGTACAATCCTCAGGAGTTGATCCGTCCGGGTTGTAGATAATCCGTATATGTGGAGAAAAAAGAAAACACAAAAAACTGCCAATGGTGAAATATTGTAGCTCCAAGGGTAAAAATAAGTAAAAAGGAGGATTATACACTCACATTTGATGGAGCTAGGGCCAGCTCTGGGGTGAAGGGCACTTAGTGGTATAATCCCCACTACAGGATGTACTGGAAGGGTAGGTCCGTCTGTCCGGCTTGGGTTCCGCCGTATTCCACAAGGTATAAGAAACAGCAAGTAGTGCTCTCAGTAGGAACAATAAAATAAATGAAATAAAATAAAATATGCTCACAAGAGTAGAGCAGAAAATACTGCTCTATTGCCACAGCGCTGGTGGAATTATCCCCACCGCTGATATGGCCCGAAACGCCTCAGCAGCTCTCCCTGATAATTTCCCGGCCAGAATCGGTACCCATTCATCTTCTGGTACTTTATGAAGAGCGCACTGTCTTTCGAAATCTGCGAGGTACCCATCAATCTCGTCCTCTGCCTCTTGAAATCTTTAAAGGCTGTGAAAGGTACATTCCTCTGTTCCAGTTGTGGAGTGGGGCTTTCAATCGCAGGGGCTCCCGAATGCTGGATCTCGGCTAAGCGCAGCTGTTATTCCCACTTGTCTCGCGCCTCTGCATCTGTGTTCATAAAGACTTGCATGATTATTTCAGCCGGAGGGTTTGGCCCGAACAAGGCCAGGCGAAGCAGAACATCCCGCATCTGTTTGGTGTTCTGTGAAATTAGTTTGATGAGAAGGTTGGGTCAGTCCAGCTCCATTAGTTTGGCAATTAAAGCCCTTTTCGTAAGGTTGCTAGTGATTTGTCCCCGGCTCTCCAGCAAGACCTTTAGTGTGGATCGCTTTAGCTGCTCTTAGCCATTCTCCATCCGCTAATCCGCTGCTAGTTCCGAGTTCAGCATCTAACCTTGGGAAAAAGAACCATCCCTCTGCTGCCACCAGATGTTGGGCCACCCAGATAGGGACAAGGGTCTCACCCCCCCTCTCTGGAACTCTGCTGCCCTGGATTCAGTAATATAGCTGCTTAAGTGATTATAGCTGCCAGGTGATTAAAGCTCTGGCGTGATTATAGCCTTCCCCAACAGACATTAGCCGAGATTTAATGCTGGGAGTGAAATGGTTTAATGGGGTATGCTACAGGCAATTTATACATAGACTCCCAGCAGGGGGTCTCCATACAGTTACATACAAACTCCTCCCTGGCATCTCTGTGTCTGGGAGATAATTGAGTGTACTTTTGCCTAAACTAATTATCTCCCAGGCACAGAGGTACAATGTTCAAAACACAAAACACCCCAAAACAGATATAATTTTACAAGGGACCCCCTCACGTTCTATATCGCCGGATGGCCTAGATCTGAGCGCCAAACATATCCAAATAGCGAACAGATCCCATGAACATAGCCGAATCGCCACCGGGGTAAAGTTTTGACCGACCGCACACTTGGCACCTGCCCAAAATAGTTCCAGTAGATAGGTGGTGGCAGTCGGTCTCTTTCGGGAGTCAAAAAGTGAACAAAACAGTTAGTCTGTCTTATTTCAGTTCCATGTACTTGGCGACCGAACACTGCTGCATGCTTTCGTGCAACAAGATGGCCGCCAACTCATTTTCCACGTGTTCATCTATGAGAATGGCAGCCACCCAGCAGAACGCTAGTAGTAATGAGGTGTGAACCAATTATGGATGTGTCAATAGGGGTCAACGAGGTTAACAAGCTCCCAGGTGGGCTGAATACGGGAGGTATAACAAGGGTTATTTGTGGGTTTGTTCGGTTACCGAACTCGAATGAGGAAATCATGAGCAAAGTATTGTTAGTGACGGGGTGTTCTGTCACACTGGTAATGCTTGAAATGCCTTCAGCATAGTGTGAGCATATAAATTGAAGCACTCATGCAGTGCTGACTGAGGTCAATTTATTGGTGCTCCTGGATGTAAGACACCCAGAACCCAACCCTAGACGGTGGTACAAGAGCCTGAAGTGGCCCACTGAGTTTTGGATAGTTAAGGGATATAATTTATAGAACATGCTAGTACTGGGAATACTGATTTTCAAAATGCCAGCAAAATTTAAAAATTCTAATTCTAATTATTTATTTATAAAATATTTTACCAAGAAAGATACATTGAGATTTCTCTTGTTTTCAAGTATGTCCTAGGTCCACAAAATATTGCATTGATACAATAGAGTATAATAAAACACAATATTTACAAAATTTAACATAGAACAGGTAGGAAATATATAATCAAGCATGACACATGCATTCTGTTTTGTGGTATGTAGAGAGGGATCTCTTAAAGGACTTTAGGCTTGGGTAAAATTTGAAAGTGTGCGGGATGTCGTTCCATAATTGCGGTGCTCTGGAGGAAAAGGAGGATCGGGCTGCTTTCTTTTTGTATTGAGGTAGACTAAATAAAGTGCTGGTACTGGATCGGCAGTTATAGGAGGTGGGAACAGCTTCTCAGAAAAGCTCTTTAACACATGGCTGGAAAGATGAAGGGTGCGCCTGGATTCCAGCGACAACCAGTTTAGTTATTCCAGCATGTCACAATAGTGGGTCCTGTAATTACATTGTAGCACAAATCGTCAGAACGAGTTATACAATGTTATACAATGTATTGAGTTTATTAAGGTAGGTTTGCCGTGCAAAATCAATGATTGGCATCTGCATTTGCTGTACAATCTTTTCCTTTACTGTAGGGCTTAGGCAGGATTTGTTTCTGTACAGGGCACCTAGTTTTGGATAAAGTTTAGATGCAAGTTTTTCTATGTGGAGGCCAAAAGATAGATTGTGGTCTACCAACATACCAAAGTATTTGAAAGAATGGACTGCAGTCAGTGTGCTGTTTGAATTTGTTTCAATGGATAGGTGGGAATTGTGTAATTTGTGTAATTTAGGTACTGTTCCAAAGATCATTGTGACAGTTTTGTCAGTGTTTAGGAAGAGTTTGTTTTTTGCAATCCACTTTTCTACCTCTGTGAACTGGTCTTGGATTTGCTTGCATAGATTACTGTGTCGTCTGCGTACATGTGTACATTTGAGGATTTGCAGACATTAGGCTGATCATTTATAAATAATGTGAATAGTAGGGGGCCGAGAATGGAACCTTGGGGAACACCACATGTGACTGGGAGAGGGAGGGAGTTGTTATCAGAAATGGACACATATTGTGAGCGATCTGATACATATGATCGAAAACAGGTTAGCGGACAATCACCAATAACTAGGTTTTTTAGTTTGTGCAGTAGAATGTCGTGGTCTACTGTGTCAAAGGCATTTGCAAAATCAATGAAAATAGCTCCAGTTAGGTCTTCTTGTTCCATGCCATTTTGGATGTCATTGCAAACTTTTAAGAGGGCAGTTGTAGTGGAGTGATTCGGGCGATTGATCATGGATCAGATGATTAGATTGTTAGTAATAGTCACGTTGCATATGGACGCATTTTTATAGTTAGAAACCAAAGTAGTGTCACCATTTTTATGGATAGGCACTACTCTTGCAGTCTTCCGAAGTTTAGGTATGTATCCTGACACCAAGGATTCGTTAATTAGGGTTGTGACATGTTTAGCAATTGCCGGCGCACTGAGCTTCAACAGCATTGCTGGGATTTGATCAGGTCCGGACTGTTTTTTTCATTTTTAGATTAGTAAGGTGTTTCTTAATGACACTAATAGGTACAGGTCTAAAAATGAACTTGTCTCTATATTGGGTCCTTGCAAATTTAGTAAGGGCCTGATCCACATTTATAGTTTCAGGATGTGTGTCATTTATTAGCTTGGCTATCAGGGTAGTGGAGCCTCAGACAAAATAATTGTTAAAGGCATCTGCTACATCTAAGAGAAGTTGCAGGGTTTGGTTATCCACTTTGAAAGTGGAGGGTTGGGAGTGGTTTGGGGGAGTTTGTAATTTATGTATGACTTTCCAAAAGTTTCTAGGGTTTGATAGGTTATTGTTCAGATTTTCACAGAAATATTGGGCCTTGGCCAATTTTGATTGTTTTGTGCATATATTTCACCATTGTCTATATGCACAGTGATTGTTCATAGAGCCAGTACGCATGAACTTTGACCACAATGTATCCTAAAACTGGTACATAACGGTCTCTTGCTCTCTCCTAAAGGGCAGCACTCTACTCTCTCCTCCAGCTCTGTTTCACTCCCACCTTATTTGATTGCTATTTCCTGTCCTAATGTGTTTTATACCCCACCTCCTATAGACTGTAAGCTCGTTTGAACAGGGTCCTCTTCAACCTATCGTTCCTGTAAGTTTTCTTGTAATTGTCCTATTTATAGTTAAATCCCCCCTAATGATATTGTAAAGCGCTACGGAATCTGTTGGCACTATATAAATGGCGATAATAATAATAATACAAATGCACTAATTCAATGCATCTCTATGAGGAGATGCTGATTGGCTATGGTTGTGATTCGCTTGTGCTGGCTCTGCCCCTGATCTGCCTCCTTGACAAGATCAGTCAATTAAATGCTTTTCTATGTGAAAGCATTGTGGTTAACTCAGATTACCACTTCTGATGATGTCAGCCAAGCAGGCAGATCAGGGGCAGAGTCAACAGCAGCAGAGTGAAATAAAAGGTAAGATTTTACTATATCTACGGGGCAAGAGGGACAGCAAGGCAAGATAGTACTTTTAATACTATAGGGTCAGGAATACAGGTTTGTGTTCTTGATCCTGTACTGTTCATTTAAATGTAAAACTATCCTGTGGGTTATATGTCACTATTTGAATATATAACGTTTAAAAAAAATACACACCACTGGCCTTATATAGTAGTTAGAATTAGATTATGTATTCCCATGCACAGAACCCCATGCATATAAGTGTCAAGGATTGCAAGGTTCAACTAGATTTCATGGATAAGGACCACATTGTGTCCTTTTATATCATTCTCTGTGGTATTATGCTTTCTTTGAAAACTTAAAAGTGTTGCCCTGGTTGGTATACCACTGAACTGGACTTCTTCTTATCTGATTTAAAACATTTTTTTTCCATAATGGGGTAATCCAATAAATGTTTTTGCAGTCTTGTAGTTATGATGTTTGGAGTAATCCTTTAAATATGTAAAAAAATAAAAAATTTAAAAAAAAGCAACACCACACATGGATTAGTTCTATCTAAATAACTATGGAATGGAATAATAACAGTGAGGGCAAGACAAATATATGATGTTCTTCTAATTTTCAAAGCAGATAATTTATCATATTTTAATAGCATGTTTCAAAAAAATCATACACCCACGTTTAATACTTCATTTTTTGGATACATTTGAAAAGTGATCCGATGCTGACTTTTTATTCAAGAATATTGGGATATAACAGTCTTTCTGAAAGGGCTGTCGATGGCCTAACTAATGCCATATTGGGTTAGAACTGGAGTTCTAAAATGGTTTGACTACTTACAATGGGGAGGGGTGCATTGGAAGTCCTGGCACAATAACCACTAGAGCACACTGTAGTGATTAGTAGGGGGCAAACGTACATTTAAAGCCATCAATGTTCATTTAATACTTGCATCTTTAAAACATAGAGTGGGGGGTCTAGAATATAATAGGAGGGTTTATGATTTGCTGTCTATATCCAATTGACCCTATCCAGTACCATGGACAGGGTAATATGAAATGTGCAAGACATTGTGTTTCTGAAACGCAACGCTATGTACTTTATTTACTTTATATCTAAGTTTACATGTTGGACTATTTCAATGTATTGAACATGAAACAGACATTTGGTATATAGCAATAACATATAGAATTACAGCACCAATTCTTCATATTCCTTTTTTTCAATGAATAGAGAACTTAAGATTTACACCAATAGGGTCACAACTCAATACAGAGATTGTTATTGCTCTAGATTGTGTCGATTCTGGACTTTCTCTTATATTTGTTTTCTATACAACACTGTCAGGGTTATCCAAATTAAGATATAAGGAAGCCACTAATGTATGCAGAAAGGCGATTAGATGGGCTAAGCTAGAAAATGAGACAGTTTAAGTACATAAACTCTAAAAAAAAAAACTAGCGCTAGTTAATGAAGACCAGGAAAAGGCAAAAAGTTTAAATAATAATATTTTTAGTCACTGTATATCAAGGAGGAACCTCAAGGAGGAATGGCAAGAGATATGCAAATGATTGCTGCAAAAAACTGTGATTGGATGACTTAAGACAGGGTGCTGCATCAACTAAAGAAAGTTAAAGGAACACAGTGGCGTACATACCGCCCCGGACAGTGGCGTACATGCTGCCTCGGCCCATGAGCAGCACGTTCAAGGGGCCCATTTGGTGGCCCATGCTATTAGGGCCACCCGATGGAGATGAATTTCCAGGGGGCCCCGGTCAGCGCTGCGGCGCTTTAATAGCACGACCGGGGCCCCATCTGACTACTGTCACTCCTCCCAGATATCAGAGAGAGCCCGCGCGGGGGGAAGGAGAGAGAGTCAGAGTGGGAACTCTGACTCCCACCAGCCTGATCCATCACTGGACCCCAGGGAAAGTCATCTCCTGCACCTAAAAGGTAGGAAACAGGAGGGTGACTTAAACATTTTGTATATGTGTGTTTTTGTTTGTATGTATGTATGTGTGTATGTGTGTGTCTCTGTATGTGTGTGTATGTGTCTGTGTGTCTGTCTCTATGTGTGTATGTGTCTGTCTGTTTGTGTGTGTTTGTGTGTGTGCCTGTGTGTGTGTGTCTGTGTGTGTCTGTCTGTGTGTATGTATGTGTATGTGTGTGTCTCTGTATGTATGTGTATGTCTGACCGTATGTATGTATGTGTGTGTGTCTGTCTGTATGTGTCTGTGTGTCTGTCTGTATGTGTGCCTGTCTGTTTGTATGTGTGTGTGTCTTTGTATGTATGTGTGTCTTGTGTGTGTATGTGTCTGTGTGTCTGTCTGTGTGTATGTATGTGTCTCTGTATGTATGTGTGTATGAGTCTGTCTGTATGTATGTGTCTGTGTGTATGTATGTGTTTGTGTGTGTCTATGTATGTATGTGTCTGTAAGTATGTGTGTGTTTATGTGTGTATGTATATGTCTCTGTGTGTATGTATGTGTCTCTGTATGTATGTGGGGGGCATGGATCAGTTTCGCACCGGGGCCCCATGGATTGTGTGTACGCCACTGGGTCTAGATTAAAATTCTTGTTCTTGAGTAGAACTCTGGCTTAAAGACAATATACAGAGAGTTATCATTTATGTTACATTTTCAAGCTGGACAAAAGTGGTAAGTGGTGTTCCTCAGGGTTCTGTTCTGGGACCGCTTCTATTATAAATTATCTTGAAATTGGCATTGAAAGTCATGTTTCAGTGTTTGCAGATGATACCAAACTCTGTAAAGTAATACAATTGCTGATGGATTTAGATAGATTGGGGGACTGGGCACTCAAATGGCAGATTAAATTTAATGTAGAGAAATGCAAAAGTTATGTACTTGGGAGTAAAGAATGAACAAGCAACTTATACCCTAAACATTAGTGAATTAGAGCCAATATACAAGATGGATTTGGGAATTGTTATAGACAACAAACTAGGCAACAATGTGGATTGTCAATCAGCAGTAAGGTGTTGCCATATATAAAAAGGACCAGAGGGGATATGATAGCATTATATAAATGTATTTTGTTACAAACCATTGTCAGGAAACAGGACTATACATAGGACATAAGTCGAGGAGATACAGTTTAAGGCAAAGGAAAGGGTTTCTTACAGTAAGGACAATAAGGATGTGGAATTCTCTGCCTGAAGAGGTAGTTTTATCAGATTATGTTCAGATGTTTAGACATCAACTGACTGAATACTTATTAAGGGATATAATTTTTAATATGTAGGGTAACAGCTTTTTGATCCAAAAATGAATTTTGCCACTTGTTTGTTGCAATATGTTTTTTTTTTGTTTTGCCTTGTTTTTGATCAACAGCAAAACAAATTGTGGGAAAGGCTTTTTTTTTTATGGATGCATTTTTGCAGCCTATGTCAGTCATTCCGTGGCTTAAATCCACTCTTGATGACCACAGTTATCAACTGTGCTGCTACTGTTGAAACAAGTACCTGCTTTCAAACAACATTGAGTGCAATGAGTCATTCATGGCATACTTATAGCTGAATTACCACTGAATTTCCATTTGCCAATAGCTTGTGGTCTAGTTGAATTTGTTAACTCTGGTATACCTACATAACCTACATAAAGATCTCCAATATAATATTATCTTTGCATTATTGCTCACAATGCAGGTTGTTTCACTGCCTCTCTACACAGTCTGGCATCTCAGGGCAACAAAGGGACACATATGACCAGTGACAGGACCAATGGGCTTGCAAAAGTCGCTATGGCGATTTGGAGTTCGTCCTGTCAAAGGTAACCCAGGCTGGTTGGGCCCTCTCCTCCTTGCAAAACTGGCCATTCGCCAATCATAATCTGCCATACCTACCTCTACTACAACAACCTTTAAAGAGGAAGTGGAAGCATGCTTCACGTAACTATATTTTCTAACCTACACATTTGATGGCAATTTGACTCTGTAAATGAATAGATTACAGATGCATGCCATAGCCATGCTGCTTTTGTCATCCACAACTTTCGTGTATATCAAAGTCTATGTACAAACATCATCCCCGATAACACTATATTGTGTTTGGTCGTTTTTTTTCCTGCATTTTTTCTTGTATGTGTTAATCTTTCTCTTTCAATCGTTACATACAATCTCATGCCTTTGTTGGTTCAAAGTACTCAGTACACTTAAAAAAGGAAATTCTTTTTTCGCTTTTTCCTCTTGGTTTTTCATTTGTTTAAGTGCTTCTGTGATATTGCCTTTCATTCCTAGTTTAAATATCTCCATAATGACATTACCATCTCAGAATACATCTTTCATGTGGTTCTTTTCTCCATTACTCACTTATTGGTGACCACCCACCAGGGCATATTCTGTAGCCCTCTAGCTGCATTGTGGTCATCACTGTAGCAAAACCCTTTTCCAAAAAGACTTGAGTTTATGCTCACATTATCCAAAATTAGATCATATGCAGGGTCACAGAAGTGCCCCCAAGGAAAGATGTGGCTTACCCATTGTGGATTTTGTATAAAACTGATAACATAAAAGACAAAATTGAAAACACGTTGCAGAGAACATTTTATTTCAAAATAAATAAAACACACTGGAGAAAAGGCCAACTTTTTTTTGTACTGAAAAATATGAAAAACAGATGATATTAAATCACAATTCCAAACAATTTGCCAGTATTATAAATTCCTTTTTATCTTAAATGCTCAGTTAAAATATGCATGGTTCCTATTATTGATGGAAATACACGTAAAATGTTTTACTAATATAACTAATGTTGGGTAGATGATGGGAAACAGATTGATCTCTTGATTTGGAAGCTGCAGGGTGACGACGAGCAATGAATGTGGCTTCTCCTTTACAAAATTAGAAATTAAATTCACCATAACTCCAGTAACCACGTAGACTACATGTGCTATACATTCTCTACATATTGTTCCATTGGTAGAACAGAATAATAAATGGAAAACCACTGGTAATTAAACCATTTTCCACTGAAATGATGACGATAAGTTCTTTGAAATATTCAGAGATGGAAATGGCTTTTAATCCTTTAGCTTCTTTTCCACTAACAGTACTTTGAATCTTACGAAATGTTTTAAAAGGCCATTTGTGTCTCGCACTATTGACTAGAGTTGTGCAAAAATCTACTGTGCATTTTTGCAAGGGGACTGTTTACCCAGCTCTGTTAAACCCAAACTGACATGCTCCTGTTGAGTCTAAGCCATTCAAAATTGTTCTTTTTAAAGGGTCACGAAAAGCATCCAGACCACTTCATCTCAATGCCCCTGTCAACACCAGATTCCCTTTGGCTTGAGCACCCCATTCCTCCATTATAGGTGGAGGTGGGGAGTGCCAAAAAGCCTATGAAGACCTACCTTCTGACCAGACCCAGGATTACAAGCAACTTAAAGCTGAAATTCTAAAGCGCATTGGCGTAACACCAGTCATTCGAGCCCACAGGTTTCATAATTGGGCATACGATGTGAGTAAACCTACCAGAGCCCAGATGTATGGATTGCTCAGGCTCGCTCAGAAGTGGCTGGAGCCAGAGCGCAACCCTGCTACCAAGATAGTGGAAATGGTTGTGATGGACTGTTTTCTCAGACACCTGCCAACAGGACTGCGACAATGGGTCTGCCAAGGGGACCGTCAGGATCCAGAAGCAATGATGTGCCTGATTGAGAGGTATTTGGTTGCCAAGGAGCCAAACAGTATTGATCCTCATCAGAAGTCCCGACTGGCTAACAACCGGATAAGCGGGAAAGTGGGAAACAAAAGACAAAACTTTGTACCGAACCTTGAACCATATGACCGGGGTGGCAGAAGGTCCCCACCAGCTCCATTACGGCTACAAGACCAAGCTGAGGGACAACTCCGGTGCTTTAAATGCCATGAGCCTGGACATTTTGCACGCAGCTGTCCAGAGAATGAAGAGCCCATACAGTGTGATGTAGGGACAAGAGCTCTGCATAGGACTGTATTGACTTGCTCAAAGAGGTGTGTGGTGACTAGTTCTATTAATAGAAACATAGAAACATAGAAACATAGAATGTGACGGCAGATAAGAACCATTCGGCCCATCTAGTCTGCCCAATTTTCTAAATACTTTCATTAGTCCCTAGCCTTATCTTATAGTTAGGATAGCCTTATGCCTATTCCACGCATGCTTAAACTCCTTTACTGTGTTAACCTCTACCACTTCAGCTGGAAGGCTATTCCATGCATCGACTACCCTCTCAGTAAAGTAATACTTCCTGATATTATTTTTAAACCTTTGTCCCTCTAATTTAAGATAATTTAAGGTGATCACAGGAAAGCACACATTTGAGGCGAATCTCTGGATGTAATTTAAAGGATCACTATGGGGTCAGGAACACAAACATGTATTCCTGACCCTATAGTGTTAACACCACCATCTAGCCCCCTGGGCCCCTCATGCCTCCATAAATATAGTACAAATCTTATGGTATTCAAGACAGAAGCTGTAAATCTGCATGCTGTTAGACTCAGAAAAACAAGCAGTCTGCTGACATGTGGTAGCCTGATTCAATCACAGTGCTTCCCCATAAGATTGGCTGAGACTGACAAAGAGGCAGATCAGGGGCAGAGCCAGCATGATTCAAACACAGCCCTGGCCAATCAGCATCTCCTCATAGAGATGAATTGAATCAATGAATCTCTATGAGGAAAGTTCAGTGTCTGCATGCAGTGGGAGGAGATACTGAATCACAGGATGCTCGTGCACAGCAGATCTGAGTGGATGGAGGCATATTATGCCTCCATCAACTCTGAAGTCCCTCTGGTTTACTCTGAGTGACTGCAACTGGAGGTGTTCCTAGCTTTCAATGTAAACACTGTATGTTCTCAGGAAATACAGTGTTTACATGAGAAAGGCTGCAGGGTGCTATAGTTCTCACCTGAACAACCTCATTAAGCTGAAGTTCTTCAGGTGACTATAGTGTCCCTTTAAGGAGTAATAATTGCAGTTAGCATGTTTGTCTCCTACGTTGGAATTAATGTAGGACCCACCGATATTGGGGTGCAGTGATGTATTGGTGGGGTTAACATGATATGGTCATATGGTGTAACTAAATCCCCATATTTGTTTGCTAAGATAGGTGATTTTAGGTAGCCTTGTAAAATGTAAAACTGTATTTTTGTTTGTATGCGCTGTTCCTTAATCTTGTTTTTGATTGAGCGGCAATTCATTAATTTGACTTTGTTATGTGATGCAGGTGAAAGGGCGGGAAGAGGGGGTGAACCCACCCAGAAAAGGTCGGGCTGCTCTTTAATAGCAGGTCAACCTGGCATGAATACACATCTGACTGTCTGCCTATCTTTGGAGCCCAGCCCAGTAAGGACAGACACTGCAGGGATCGCTGTTTCAGTGGTCTGTACAAGTTCCAAGTGCCCTGAGTATAGAACAAGGATTTCTAATAATGCACTTCCACTATGCTTGTTGAGGACAATTCCCTTGTGTCCCCAAAAGCTTGACACCAGGGAACTAAGTCAGGACAGCAGGACCGGACCCAAAAATTGGGACTGTAACATCAGAATCGAGGTGGTTGGGATTTTGTTTGCCTCTCACCCGGAATATTGCTATTGTGGAAGTTTCAATATCAGTAATATCAATTTTGCCCAATTTTGGAAGGCATTCATTGACTGAACATGTCAGCTGATGCACTCAGTCAACTAATTACAACAAAATATGAATGGCATATGAATATTGCTTTGGGTGCAGACATTCATCTACCATGATATATCCAGAGAAATAAAAGGAGGGAGTTTTTGCAAACTATCTGTAGATACAAAGAAAAGTGCACAAAGAAGCAGAATTGTGACTGTGACGGTAGTATATGGTATCACCGTCAAGCATCCCCTTCTTTCCATAAAAGAAAATCACCCAATACTCCACAAGTAGAAATATCCCTGGAATCGCCGAATAATCCACACATGAGCCAAAGCTTAATGCTGGAACAAGACTGATTTACTGGCACACAGGACTCACAATTTATGCAATACAAAACTCCTCCTCTGGGCCAGGCTAGATAATTGAGTTTCAGCAATACACAAAGCTCAATTATCTGCTGGCCAGAAACATTACAGTTTTTAACAATTTCAGAAAAGTACTTTTTATATTACATACAAACATAATTATATCCAAATCACACAAATTTCCGTTCGGTAGTTTCCGTGTCGCATCGTGTGGAAGTTTGACCGGCTCGCCATGTGGAGGTATCCGAGCTAGAGTTCCATAGAATCAGTAGCAAGAGCCGGTCTCTGTTCGCATACGAAAACCACCGTTCGTATGGTGCAGCTGGTTACATACGAATGTTCCCCTCGTTCGGTAGATCTACCGAATGCCAGTTTGATTCATGGAGGGGAACGTATTCAGCCAGGACTTCCATGAGGACCGGGCGTTCGCATGGTTGCCGTGCCGAAAATAGTTCCAGGCAATTCATGCGTAAGTCCTGCTGACCACATTTCTTGAGTTTTAAGATGGCCGCCATCCTTTGTTCTCGCCACGTGTTCGTATGCCGAATGGCGGCCACCTAGTAGCAATTAAGTCGTGGTTTTCTCTGCGTTCCAATGCTGATTGCTACCCAGGGTGGGTGGTCTCCATTTGGTAAACGAATACATTTATTCAATACATAGTGAAACGAACTGATACAGGCATTTGACCAGCAGGGAGAAGATATAACTGAAGGCACCCAGGTAAGTACATGAAAATCCTTCACAGTGACCATCACAGTGTAAATTGTTGAGAATTCAAAATTAATTCAAACTGTTAGTAATTTGAAAAATTCTCAAATGACAGTTATATTTTCAAACAATTACTCTATTCTTGAAACAAATAAATATAGATAAGTTACATATTACTATATGCCATGTATAATTTTAGCCTACTTGAGGAGATTTGTAGATCAGGTGCTCTCCCCCCAATATTGCCTGAGGACCAACTCACATGATCCTCTGGAAACCTAGGGACTGGGAAAAAATAATATTGTAGAGTTATATAATTGTATAGCATCTGTAGGGGTAACTTGTGACATCTCTGTATAGATGTGTTTGCACGAAAAATATGAAGGACTATACATTGTAACAGGCTGAAGACAACTCGTGTTTGTGAGTCATTTTGTGCTAAGGAGGCTAAGGGGATACAGTTGACTCAGCTGTATGGGGTCCAGGCACAGGGCCTGCTTTCCCAATATATATATATAGTGAGTATTGCTATCAGGGGAGGGCTGGCAGCCTTAGACCTGGTGGGCAAATCC